ATGCCGTATACGGTTACGGTTAACCGTATAATATCGAAAACCGTGAATTAACCGTAACCGTAACCGTTGCAACACTAATTAAAAGTCAAAGTTTTTAATAATTAAAAAATAAAAAAATTCATTATGGCTGAACTAATTATCCGATTCCAACGATATAACTAGCGTTGGAATCTTGTTTTGACATAGATTCTTTGTTATTTTTTTCAATTGTCCTATTTTCATTTAGGTCAATTTTTTTTTGTTTTTTTTATACCAAATTCGGAAATAATTGCCTTCTGCGCCAGCTGTCGACTCGAGAAAAAAAACACATATACTCCAATCATTTCTCGAAATTATGCTGCTGAGAAAAAAAATGGCCCGCAGGTTGACAAAAAGTTATTCGTCCTTTTGTGGCCGCGCGCGGTGTCAGCTCACGCTCCGAACCGTGTACGCTGTACGCGCTTGTGACGCGACGTCTTACGGTGGTCTGGAACCTGCGGGCCATTTTTTTTCTCAGCAGCATAATTTCGAAAAATGATTGGAGTATATGTGTTTTTTTTTCGAGTCGATAGCTGGCGCAGAAGCCAATTATTTCCGAATTTGTTATAAAAAAAACAAAAAAAAATCGACCCAAATGAAAATTGTACAATTGAAAAAAATAACAAAGAATCTATGTCAAAACAAGATTCCAACGCTAGTTAAATCGTTGGAATCGGATAATTAGTTTAGTCATAATGATTTTTTTTTATTTTTTAATTACTAAAAACTTTTACTTTTAATATCATGAATATGTCAATTGAAAATTTTTTTTTACAAAATCCTTTAGGATTTGTGTTAGTGATGTAAAATACTATCGAAAAAATGTATCTACAATCAAAAACTAATTTTGACCTAATTCAGGTGGCCCGTTTGAGAAATTCTGACCCATATATTAACGGCGAAATATGACAGCAGGTCTGAAGTATTATTAAATATTCATAAGATTTTTTTTTTAATAATCTATATTGCCCTAACCTATACAGGTTATATATATAGTCATATTTTTGAAAAATTGTTGCAAATGGAAATACGACTTTTTGAAAAATCTCTCCTCATTTATAAAATAAGCAAAATACATGTTGGGAAACTTTTGACAGTATTGCCTCTAATCGGCTTCCGAGACCAGTACTTCAAAATACATGAAGCAAGGATAGGAAAATGAAATAATATTATATTTGGCATATTCAACTGTATTAAAAGATAAATCTCCTTTTGAGTGGTGGGAGGCAGAAAAAAAGAAATTTCCCAGTTTGTACAACGCAGCACCTGCTGGCAGTATGTCAAGTGTACAACTTTTTAGTGAATTAGGTAATATTTACGAGCCTAAAAGAAATAGACTAAATGCAGATAGGGCTGAAATGTTGGTGTTTTTGCATCATAATATCAAGAAATTAAATTTTATGAATTAAGTATATACTGTATATTAGTACCTGCTACATTAGGTATATTTGTTGTTAGTAGTGTTAGGATTTATTTTACTTTTTTAGTAAAAATGTTACCTTTAGAATAATTTTTTTTAATAAAGTATTTCATTTATGCACTGAAAAGAGTGAAAAGCGCAAACAATTTTTTGCCGATACGATACCGATAATCGGCAATTGGCAATCGGCTATATCAATATCGGTATCGTTCTATCTCTATAGAAAATACCCTGCGAATGGCACATGGCATAAATGACATAAAGCATAGCCGTCTACATAGAAAAATAGTATTGAAAAGTTGCTTCCAATAGTGTTTGGTAATCCTTACCAAACTTTAAGTATTAAATACCGTACATTAATATATTATTATAACTTAAAATGAATATTGAAATGTACATATTTTAAACTAAAAAAGTAATAAAGTAACTTAATTATGACACGTCACCAGAGCCGTGCGCAGGATTTTTTCATGGGAGGGGTTTTATCATTAAATTGTTAAAGATACCTATCCCTGCTTAAAATACCCCATAGAGACCCTGTTCAAACCGATAGATATTTGTATCGGGATGTATGGTGTTTCTATAGGGTGTATCGGTTTGTATAGGACCCATAGTTGAGATTTCTATAGGGATATCCACCCTTGATTTATTTGCTATCGGTTTCAATGGGGAAAATACACATAAAAGTAGAAATTAGTTTTTCACCCATAGGACCCCATAGGTTTTAATAAAATTTTGTCAAATGTTTTATGGTTGTTCTATAGGGATATCCCTATAAATCCTTCATTGCCCAGTAAACACACATACGTTAATTAAACGTTTTTTAAACCCGTAACACCATTTTGTTTTTACGTATATTTTTAACGTACAATCAACTTTAAAATGTCGCAGTTTAAGCGTTTAACAATACTAATAAATAAACGTTTAATTTGGGCGTTAAGAAAACGATCATTACACGTTTCGACATGTTACATTTAAAACGTTTAATATACGTCTATTAATAACGTAAATTAAAGATTGTTTTTGCCTCATTTATAACGTTTATCTACACGATATATTTAAATTCATATTAATGTCCTTTCTAACGTTAGTTCTACAATAAATAAAACTCCACAAATACTTGTTTTTACAACGTATTTATTAAACGTTCGTTTAACGTTAACTGCAACATGATTTTTTTAAATGAAGGAAAGGTTTTGGAGGCATCTCCAGTCTTTTTTAGGTGAATCATTTTTATCGTTCGCTGGAAAATTTGGCTGCTTCTAAAACACAAAAAAAAATTGTTAAACGATGAAAAATAGACTAATTTTTCCCAAAACCCTATCAGTTATTATTATTATAATCGACTCTTTCCACAATTTTACCATCTGTGCATTTATGACTATTGTGTTTAATCTAAATCAGTTTAATGTTTTAATGTTAATTTAACTTAAATGTGTTAATATTTACCTACCCCACAATACTTAATAAACATTGAAAACACGTAAAAAAGTCTTTAAAATTAACATATTAACTCTCATATTATTCTAGGACGCTGCACAAATTATAATAAGAACAAAATCACACTCCCCCAAAAATTAGGAAATAAAACAATGAATCTGCGTGATATTAACAGTGTGTATTTTAAAATAATTACATTAAAGTACTTACCAAAAGCCGGATGAATCTTACGAGCAGAAAACACTTAACAAATGCACCTTTTGATAGCAAAATCAAATTGAAAACTGACCTAGCGAGCAACTATGGCATGGCAGCCTGCCATTGGCAGGCCCAATCACATGATGTGTATTCGGCCAATCAGATTGCATTTTATACGGGCATGTATAAACGTATTAAGTACGTTTATTTAAACGTATTAAGTACCTTTGTTTAAACATATTAAATACGTTCGTTTAAACGTATTAAGTACGTTTGTTTAAACGTATTAAGTACGTTATTTTTATCTATTACAGTAACTGTCTAGTTTAAAGAATGTTAATAAAATAATGCACTTTTTAAAGCAACATTTGTGGATGAGTATAGTGTTCTGCCTAAAGCTTACTGTATGACCACTGACTATAGAATTACTTATGCTTTTCTTTAGAACGTAATTTCTAAATTTCATTTAATATTCTTTATATAGGTACCTATGCATATTGTTTATGTATGTATACATGTTGCACCAATTTATTAAATAATAAACGTTATAAATTCTTTTTAAAAAAGTTATCCCATTTTAGAGAAAAACGTTGTGGAAAAAAGTTTGTTTGTATTTTATTAATGTTATAAAAATATACTTTTGAAAAAATAAGAAAGTTAAATTATTCATTTAACATTCATTCATAATTCATTTTTTAACGAACAAAATTCTTGGATTTTATGCCTTCAGATTATAAAATAAGAAGTCATATTGTCTACATGTGTAAACTAAGCAAAAATTAACGTTGTTTTAACGTTTAAATTAAACATTTAAATATATGGTTGACTGAACACCTTAATACAACGTTATTGTAACGTAAAAGTTATGCCCTATTAAAAGCATATTTAAATTAACGTTGTTTTAACGTTTAAATTAAACATTTAAATATATTGTTGACTGAACACCTCAATACAACGTTATTGTAACGTAAAAGTTAGCCAATATTAAAAAGCATATTTAAATAAACGTTGTTTTAACGTTTAAATTAAACATTTAAATATATGGTTGACTGAACACCTTAACACAACGTTATTGTAACGTAAAAGTTAGGCACTATTAAAAATCATATTTAAATTAACGTTGTTTTAACGTTTAAATTAATTGGTGTAAATTTATACCAACATCAAACCGTTGCTGTTTCCACGTAAAACGTTTTATTGACCATTCACACGTTTTAAATACGTTTAAAAAACGTGTATGTGTTTACTGGGTGAGTTATTTGCTATCGGTCTCAATAGGGAAAATGTAAAAGTTATGGTGTGCCTATAGGTAATTTCCTATAAATTTTCTATCGGCCCGTATCCGGAAAAAACCATGGACAAATGCACAGATTGAATCCGGTAGCGCCCGACATATTATTTTATATAGGTCTCTATGGGGTATTTTAAGCAGGGATATACATTTAAAATAATAACACAAGACAACAGTTACGATTTGTTTTGGGTAAATTTTAAGTAGTATGATATTTTTTTTATTTTGAGACTTTCAATAAGAGGGTTTAATTAAACCCCCAAAACCCCCTTGCGCACGGGCCTGAACGTTAATATAAAATAAAATATCAATCCTTAATATTTAGGATTTACAACTTTTAACAATTAATATACAAAAATTACTGTATGTTAAGTTATATCACACCCCGAGTGTCTTATCGCTCGGTTGTAAATAATAGAAATATGTGATTTTAATTAATACATTGCATTATAAAAAACATTTAACTTTATTAAAATCGCACCTGTTTATAGCTAACGCTTAAAGAAGTTTAAGCTTTATTGACTCGATTAATATTATAAGAAATGTTTTATACTGCGGGAGAAAATAATAATAATGTAATACTAATATGGTACTGCCTTTGATGAAAACCTAATTTGTTTCTTTTTGTTTCAGCATCTCGACCTCTGGTGGTGCCCGACATTGACTTGTCGCTAAGTCTGCAGGACCCCCAGGATGTGACGGTGCTGAAGGGCCACGGCGCCACGCTGCAATGCCTTGCCGAATCGACGGAAGATGGTCCCGTCGAGTACGAGTGGCTGCGCAACGGCGAGCCGATTGCTGAGCAGAAAACTTCGACGGACGGCTCTCTACACTTTTCGAAAGTTATAAGCGGCAAGAAAGCCAACGCCAACACCGGAGAGTACCAGTGTTTGGCCAAAAACAGGGCGGGGGCTATTTTATCCAATGGAGCCAAACTAAGAGTTGCTTGTGAGTAAAAATAAACACGGCCGTAATACAGTGTTCCAGAAGTCCCTCACCACCTTGAAGGTGCATGGTCTACAAATCCAAAAAAATCGTTTAAAAAATTCTACATTCGTTATTTAAAACAAAAAGCAACATTGCCTAATAATAAATTGGTAGGTTAATTCTTAATAATGAAGACAACAAACAACAATAAAGTGTCAAAATGAATTGACCAAATTCGTTATTTTATGTTAGAGGTTATTTATTTTACGCCAGACTGAACAGAATTAAATACAAGGAGTCCCTGTCAGACTAATAACTAATAAAACTATAAAGTGCTTGCAAATCCAAGTCCGACCGGGTTGTTCAATACCCGCGAGAAAATAACAAGGATAAAAGGCCATTTGTAGCTGTTTGAACAGAATTTGATTGGTCAGAGCCGGCAGGCGTTCGTATTGTAAGCGCCTTCTGTTTGGCGTTCTATCCTTGTTATTTTCACGCAGGTATTGAACAACCGTCCTTCCCAACCCGGTCGGACTTAGATTTGCAAGCACTGTAGATTAAATTTATGAAGAAAAACTAAACAAATATTAACATTACATTGACACATATACTCAGACTAAATAAAAAAACTTGCATTTTCTAAGCATTCTCTAAAAAAATGCAACTATACATAACAAAATGTTATCAGGTACACTTAAATCAGATAGAGTCTAGCCTACAGTCTGATCCCAACAAATTTTGGTCATATATAAATTCAAAGAAAAGTAGCTCGCGTATCCCAGGCAAAATGTTTTCTGGCGATAGTCTTTTAGAATCGCCACAGGAAATTGTTGATGAATTTTCTAATTATTTCAGTAGCGTATACTTAAAGCCTCATGATCAAAATAACATTTCCTCAACTACTTGTAATATTATTCAAAGTATACATATACATGAGTTTACTGAAGACGATATCCTTGGAGCGTTTCGAAAACTAAAATGTGGTTTTACTGCCGGTGATGACTTAATTCCAGCATTTTTAATTAAGGATTGCTCTCATACCTTTGTAACGCCAATGTTAAAGATATTTAATCTTATATTAAGAACTTCTGAATTTCCAAGTGTCTGGAAGTTAACTCGTGTGTTTAAATCTGGTGAAGCTGCGAACATTGCTAATTACAGACCAATAGCAATATTGTCCAATTTTGCGAAGGTCTTTGAGATCTGTTTATATAGCCGCATCTGCCCTTTGCTGTCATTATGTATTACTCCCCAACAACATGGTTTTATGAGTAATAGATCTACACTAACAAACTTAACTGTTTTCTCACAGTTTATTGCTGATACTATTGATAATCGTGGGCAGGTGGATGTTGTGTACACGGATTTCTCGAAGGCCTTTGACACAATTGTACATAATATTTTGATTAACAAACTTGGTTCATTTGGACTTTCAGATTCGTTGATTTGTAGCTACCTCGGGAGTACCCCAGGGGTCAAACTTGGGACCGCTATTATTTAATCTCTTTATCAATGACCTTGTTTCTTCACTAAAAACTCAAAAATTACTTTTTGCTGACGATTTAAAGTTATATCACACTGTACGAGATGTTAAAGATTGTGAGCTTCTTCAGTTAGATCTGAACTTAATTCAGCTGTGGTGTAAGGAAAACTCCTTATGCCTAAACATATCTAAATGTAAAGTTTGCTCGTTTACCCTTAAACTTAATTCAATTAGATTTAACTATAATATTGAACATATCTCATTGTCCCGTTCTAGCTTAGTCAAAGATCTAGGAATTCTGTTTGATAGTAAGTTTAGCTTTGTAAATCATATTCAAAATATTTGTAACTCTGCTAATAGGGTTCTTGGTTTTATTTATCGAAACTGTAAATCTTTTAAAAATATGTTTGCACTAAAGTCACTATATTTCAGTTTAGTTCGTTCTAAACTTGAATATTGTTCAAATATTTGGTATCCTTATTATCAGAATCACTGCAAATCACTTGAAGGAGTTCAACGTCGATTTTTGAAAATGTTATATATTAAAAAACACAATACTTATCCAGAGAGGGGATATGATCACAATCTATTATTGCAGGAATTTAATATTTCAGCACTAGATGTTAGGAGGAATATATTTTCAATTAAATTTTTGTACAAACTTGTCCATAATAAGATTGACTGTCCAGATCTGCTTGAGCGGTTGAATTTTCATGTTCCGCGTATTCATTCTAGGTCAGTTTCAACCTTTAAATGTTTTGCACGTACAAATGTACTTTTGCGGTCGCCAATGTTTGTTATGTGTACCAACTTTAATAAAATATCTCACGTGTGTGATATTAATTATTCTGAATTGTCATTTATTATTTGTACTTTTTTAAGCGTTAATTAGTTTATTTTTGTTTATAGACTTACTTTACTATGTATAAGTTATTTTATATTTTTGCTATTATGCTGTTACTATAGTTTTTATTTTTTGTTCTTTGTCCTGTAATTGGAATTTTTTCTGTTGGGAAACAAATTTATTATTATTATTATTATTATTAAATATTCACTAGAGGAATACATTTCAATATCGTTTAATGGTATCTTCGGATATCACGGATTTTGACTAATCAACAAGTTAGTCATCATTTACGTCCTTACGACCATTATTAAAGCGCGTATACCACTCAGGAACTCTGCTATAGAATAAACAATCTTTACCATAAACTTGTTTCATAAATAAAAACGTTTCGGTGAATGTTTTTGCACCGATTCACGGTGGTCTGGGGCTGGCCATAACCCCAAAAAGACGACTTTCTCTGATTAAAACAATCATCATCATACATATACACTGCTCTAAAACCCCTTTACCAATCCTCATGAAATATTATATAAAAATACTTCAACGTGTACGAGGGTTTTTCAAAGAAATATTTTTAAAGTCCTTTTATTTAATAACAAAAAAACGTTCGAAAAATAACTTTAAGCGAATTTTTCTTTTAAGTAAATAAGAATATGCTGTTAAAGACCGTATTTTTGTTAGTATACCCTGAAAATATTGTACAAATCAAACGAACAGTAACGAAAAAACAGCGCTCCAAGGTCGGTAAAAATTACCCCTTTTTGATTATTTTGCGACTTTGAATATCTGTAGCTTCCTTACTGTTCATTTGATTTGTACAACATTTTCAGAGAATACTATCAAAAATACGGTCTTTTACAGCATATTTTTTATTTACTTAAAAAAATTTCCCTGTAAAAGTTTTTTTTAGCGTTTTTTATTATTAAATTAAATGACATTAAGGATATTTTCTCAAAAAATCCTTAAACACTTAAACTGACATATAAGTTAAAGTATTTTTATCCAAAATTTTATAAAGATTGGTAAAGGCGTTTTAGAGTAAGTGTAAACTCATTAAAAAATCACAATTTGGGAATATAAATTAAATTTGCGCTACGTTTGAGGCGCTGTTACTTCGTGCTTATAACAAAAAAAGCTTATAAGCATACATGTTACTTAATAAAATGTATTTTGTAAAGTTCTTTAACTATTTATATTTTTAAAATTATATTAATTAATTTAATACCTTGTAAAATAATTAAATTCAACACTTAACTAGGGATAAGTTTCACGGTCCAATTTGGTCCAAGCTAAAATTTACACCAAGTTGTAGCCTAAAGAATCAAGAATAAAGCCTGATTTATAGATTGCCTTCCTTCCTTTCTTTCTCCCGTAAAAGGTTAACAATGCGAAAATCGTAGTGCCATTCATATTTCCGTACGGGAATCTATAAACAGCACAACGGTTTTTGTATTGTTCATTTTTACGGGAGGAAGGAAGGAAGAAAGGAAGGAAATCTATAAATCAGGCTTTAGGCTATAAAATATAGTATATATACAGGGTATCCCAGAATATGTTCCTATACATTTTTTTCCTACGGCCCCGCACACGGAGATACTGGCCCATAACGGACGCCACTGGAAAGAAGATAAAAGATCAAAAATTTCAAAACACTATATTTTCAACTGACACTCACATCATTATTTAAATTGCTAAATGTCAAAAACATTTTTTTTTCGTAAACTACATCGATGTCGATCAAAAGTAACTTATTTTTAGTTAGTTTAGGTTTAAGCTGACTAAAAATATAGTCATAGATCACATAAAAAGTGCGGGCCATTAAAAAGGATTTCGGCAACGAAGAACACAAATTTGTTAAATTTTCTTAAAAAAAAAAGAACAAGATGGAAAATACTACTCTCTAAAAATGAATTAGTTAAAAATGACTAATTGTCATAGCGAAAAAGCAGCCACTAATAATTCTAGTCAACACCAATTTGTATCACGGGTATTTATTTAGCAGTCAATGCATATGTAAAATTGTCTGCTGAATCCGAATATGTCGTCAAAAGTTATAAAAGTAGAACAGTTTGTAAGATTTATTCAATTTTCCATATAATATGGAATTGACTATATCTAAAAAACTACTATGACGGTCTTTTCGGATTCAGGGGACAATTTTACATGAGAATTTGCTGTTAAATGTCCTGGATACAAATTGCTGTGGACTACAGTTATTAGTGACTGCAGTGAATTAGTCAAAAATGACATATTTCAAAGTGAAAAAGCATGCTTTTTCACTATGAAATATGTAATTTTTGACTAATTATTTTTTAGAAAGTATGCTTGAAAAAGTTACAGTTTTACATGATAATATTAATAATAATAATAATAATAAAACGTCTTTATTTAATAATATTTCTTTAGAAAATAACCAGAATAAATCAATTTCTTCAATAAAAACTCCTGCAAAAAATGATTTTTTTTGTACTATCAAATATTTACTGATAAGAACTCATCAACTTGATAAACAAGACTTGTAGCCTCCAAATGAATAAACTGGGCTTATTGCCCTAGCAAAGGACGGGTCATAGTGACCCTTTGCCCTTACTTTGAGGATAGGAATGCATGGGTGGGAGTGGAAGTACTATAGCATAGTAAAAACTGGGATGAGGTGAGATGTGGGTGGGGTAGTTTGGGTCCGCCAGCGGCCTTTACTTAATATAGCAGGGGAATGGGAACGAGCTGGTTATAATAAATCTGTCGCTCCCACTGTCTGCATATGGTATATCTGAGTGGATGGATAAACAAGACCTGCCGCAGACAAAATTTCAGAGACATTTTTAAACATTTCATTATTTCTGTTATTTTCAGATTGAACAGAAAATTAATGTAATAAAAACCCAAGAAACAAAAACCTAAATTAAAAATTATCCCGAAAAAATTTGCTACAGAAAATTTTTTGTTTGTTTTTTTTTAATAAGAAGTATTGATTTTTTGTTAATGTTTTTGAATTTTATAAACTTCAATAAAAGTTTAGCTTTTTAATTAATCGTTATAATTCTCCACCAAGAGAAAAATAAATTCAAGTATTACATAAGCACCAAAGGGTCTTTGCTTGATTGCTTTGATTTTTTTTGTATATTTTTAATGATAAGCTTTACTTACTTTTGCTGACAAAGGGAAGAGGGGGTTAAAATTACAAAATTACTGCTTACCTAATACTTGAATGGCCCCATACTTAAAATGATTGAGGGTCAGGATACCAAAAAGAAAACACATTTTGTCTGGAAAAAAATCAGGGAAGGTCAGGGAATTTGGTTTAGACAAATCGGTGGCAACCCTGTCATCCACCTTTAAGGTGGTGTGCGACTTCTGGGACATCCTGTATATACAAGCAAGAAAGGCCCCTACAGCGTATTAACCAATCCCAATTCGAAAACCACAATTGAATGTAGGTGTTACTAAATCCCTGGTTGAGGAGGATTCCGGATTGTACTTAGTTTTGGGTCAGTCTATCGTCCCCTGAAAATCAAAATGTTTTCCCTCCTTGTCCCTTGTATAGCCACGATCTTCCAAGGAAGATTTATCAGCCGGGGTTAAACTTTGTATTCATCAAACACAGGTAATGCTGTACGCGATACGTAAAAGGACCGAAAGGGGAATAAATAGCTCTTAGAGATCAGTTTATTATAACGCTGATTGGGCCAGTTATAGTTTCTTATACACATGATTTGCTTGTTAAGAAAATCAACTATAAAAAAAGTAAGTCAACCTTTAAAAGTTTTTGCAAAATGCATTTGTTTTCTAAATAAAACAAAAAGGTAATGCTGTACGCGATACGTAAAAGGACCGAAAGGGGAATAAATAGCTCTTAGAGATCAGTTTATTATAACGCTGATTGGGCCAGTTATAGTTTCTTATACACATGATTTGCTTGTTAAGAAAATCAACTATAAAAAAAGTGAGTCAACCTTTAAAAGTTTTTGCAAAATGCATTTGTTTTCTAAATAAAACAAAAAGTGACCATATTTTTTGCTCGCCAAATGATACCATACTAATTTCTCGCCAAATTTATGTACGCCTTTGCCAGTGATGTAACCGATACATTTTTTTCAGTATCTAGGTACCGATACAGGTACTCTCTGGTAGATGTATCTGGGTACAGATACCGATACATTTTCCCAAAAGTATCTGGGTACAGATACAGATACATTCAATAAGTATCTAAGTTACTTCCAGATACTATGTTAAAAAAACTTTTTGGACCTATAAACAAGCGGGTTAACTATAAAATAAAACTGTTTTGATAAATTTGACGAAATATCCATGAAAAACGGAAATAAATTTTATATTTACGCGCCATATAAAAGCTTACTACAAAATTTGTAGTACAAATTCAAAATTATCAGAACGAAGAAAAATGCTTTCAAAGCCAACTATAGGTAACCTACAGCGCTTTTGTTTAACTTTACTCACTAGTGCCTAAGAGTTACTTTATGCACTTCGCACTCCAAAGTGGGTTGAAGGGAAAAAGAAATAAAATATCTTTTTATTATTTGTATTGTTTATTATATCCAATGTAGGTATATATCCTGGATATCCATAGAGTATAGGATGTTCATTTTCCGTGTGGCCCAAAAAGTGTGGAGTTGCAATCAGGTTGGGTAAAATAAAATGTATCTTGTATCTAAGGATCTAGATCACAGACCTGTAGGTCTGTGATCTAGATACTTTCAAAAGGATCTAGATACTAAAGTAGATCCTGATTTTTTTAAGTATCTCGATACGTATCTAGGTACATAAAATGTATCTAGATCCAGTATCTAGATACATGTATCTCGATACATTACATCACTGGCCTTTGCATTGATTATAATTATAATTATACACACACTATAGTGTCCCTTTATGCAAATAAATGGAATTTCATTGTACCCAGTTCGGATTTAATTTGAAATGGTTAAATGTTTAGGGTTGGCTTCTTTTTGGTTTAATTCTTTAAACACTTGAATGTAAAACATTAACATTTCATTATCCATTTCATATGAGCTTTTCCCTAATGTTTAATAATTTTAGGGGCCTCTTCCATTTAGTATTAACTTTAAATATTTTTTTATTAAAAAAATCTTATAACATTGTCATTAAGTATTTACATTTTGTTGTCGTTGTGTGGAAAGAATCAAGGCTATATATATATATATATATATATATATATAATATACTGTGTACATTATAATTTATATCCTTTGATAAATTACACAAAAACGTTCTACCGCATTATTTCTTCCACATTTTATCAAACATAATAAAAGCACAAAAACACCAAAGGATTTTAAAATGAATAATCCTGCACGTTTTACGCCTGTTATAATAAAAAGGGATGTCAAAATTATAATCACTTTTTTTATTTGCCCCTGGACTTTTAGACATCAAGGAAATATTTTTTTTGTTTTTTGTATAAAATTTATCATACGCACAAAGGGGGGTGGTGTTATAGGCAAAATTTCATAATTAATTTTTCAAAGCGCTTAAAATATGATAAATTACTTATTTTTTACCCGAGCTACGTATTTTACCTGCATAAAGTAATGAAAAAATTATAAAAACCTTTCCTCTCCGTTACTACATTTATTTTTAAGTGTTAACGCTGAAGTTTTTTCTGTTTCAGCTATCGATAAAGATTTTATAACCAAACCAAGTAGTGTAAACGTAACATTAAAGGATCCAGTAATTCTTCACTGTAAAATACACTCCACTCCCGCTGCGGATATCCACTGGGAATTCAATAATCTGCCTCTACCTCAAAGCACAAGGTACGTATGTTAGGAAGTTTTTTTAAATGCTTAATTTATTATGTTTTATTATAGATATGTTCCTCTTCCTTTGGGAGGTTTACTTATTACAAAAACGGACTATTCTGATTCAGGGTCATATAGGTAAATATATTCACACAGAATTTCACTTTCAAATATTACTTTTATGTATAAGTATCGCATCAACTATATAATTTTTAATACAGGGTGTACCGTTAAGAAAGGTTATTTTAAGAGTAGTTTTTGAGTAAATAAAATTGTATTTCGTCAGTAATAAAAAATAAACAATGTTGTGATTTCCAAAGTTGCTCGTAGATGTCAGCATTGTATAATATATACATATTAATATGTACATATTATGTTGAAATAGAGGGATAGGCTACATTGGAACAGGCATATAGTTATTTTTAAAAAGATGTGCACAATGTGGGTTAGGCAATGATGGTACTGAGCCACTTAAATACTCCACACCTATTAGCAGTTGTTATGGAAACAACCCAAATAAGAATCCAACGTGGTATACCGTTACATACCCTTACAAATTAGAAAATATTTTGTATTCAAACCATTCCAAACGTTTATTTTATGTTGTTATATAGCACTTTGGAATAGAAAAGCCCATGTATTACTGAGTGACTTCGCATGAAAAGCTCAATTTTGGAAAATTTTGACACAGTTTGCACCAGAGCCAAGGGCATCGCCAAAGGGGAGGCAGGGAAGGCAGCTGCCCCCCTTAAGGACTCAATAAAATGAATCAAATGCCAGCTCACTTCTTAAGAAGATAGAATTCTATCTAGACCCCTACTCAGTTCAGAGTCTGTTTGTGGCCTTTAGTCTGTTTAGACTAGTTGTTGGCCTGATTGTCTGATTTAATTCCTCTAGACCACGGTCTTATGGAGTATATAAGACCGTGCCTAAGACCCTATAGTCTACCTATGGTCTAAGGTAATTCCCAACATTACAGTTTGGGAGTTATTAAAGCATTTTAATTTTTTGATTGATTATAAATCGGCTTTCTAAACTTTTTGTGTTAAAACATATTTCAATTTATTTAATAAACCAATTAAGTATTTTTTTGTAAAAGATAAAATGAAATTGACCCCGCCATTTTGTTTTAATTTGATGATGATTATCTTACGTACGTCTTAGTACGTTAAACTTCTTTATTTTTCCCTTTGATTCGTGTTTTTTGTTTGTCCAATTTCCTTTTAGTTTTGGTAAACAGACAAAAGTGGACGGAAAAATTAAAAAAATGAATTGGACAAGTAGAAGGTCTCGTGGAAAGATAAAAGGGTAAAAATTTCGAGTTTCAACCGTTATCGGTTTTTAATCTACCGGGATTTGAGAAAAATCGATTTACAAACAATAAAAAAGTCGCCATTGGCCGTATTAATTTTACCTACAATTCATATCATCTATCTATAGATATATCATTGTGCCCCTCCTGGCCCATTGATTGGTGACACCCTTGCCCAGAGGTACAGAATTTTATTTCAAAATTGCAGATTTTTATAGAGGAATATTAAAAAAAATTCTTTATTTTAAAACATTTGACGGCCTGAATATGAGCCAACATTATGGTAGGAAAAACAGAAGACCTGACATGTATGTCCAATTTTTTGAAGGTCTTTGTACATTTTAATAAACCACCTACCCTGCTTAAAATACCCCATAGAGACCTATAAAAATAATCTATTGGGCGCTAACGGACTCAATATGTGCATTTGTCCATGACTTTTACATTTTCCCTCTTGAGACTGATAGCAAATAACTCAAGGAAGGATATATAGGGATATCCCTATAAAAACATTTGACAAAATTTTTTTTAAACCTATGGGAGAAATACTAATTTCTACCTTTATGTGTGTTTTCAATATTGAGACACATAGCAAATAAATCAAGGAAGGATATCCCTATAGAACAACCATAAATTCCAACTATGGGTCCTATACATACCGATACAAAAATCTATTGGTTTGAACAGGGTCTCTATGTGACATTTTAACCAGGGTAATTATTAATAACATGACCTGGTAAACAACTTAGATTCTCTGAGTGTATTGTTAAAATAAACGTTAGGTCTTTTTTATGAGACCGTTTTCTTAGTTAAACATTAATCGAAATGAAATATTTAAATGACAAAATATCTTAGAATAAGGCAAGACCATAAACATCGTCTAAAATTACTCTTTGAAAAATTAATTTGTGCAAAACAAAATTGGCAATTGTACTTCAGGGATCAACATATCTCTCAGTGCTTGCTTATTATTTGCTTAATTAATTATCTTTTTCATTCTTTTTTAAAATTGTTTTTCTTTAATATTTAAAGAAAAACAATTAAAAAACGAAAACATATTAAAGACAAATAATCATAACATTTTAATATAAAACCTTGAGGATGTATGGCAATAATTTTATATCTTACTTTGCTTATAAACTTTGATAACTCAAAATATTGGTATACCAAACCTATCGGTTTTCCAAATCCGCAGTTAAAAGATATAGTTGAAATTTTATAGGTGATGCAATACTTTTTAAGCCAAGTTTATAATATAACCCAAAACTTTATTATTACAAATGTGTAATTTTAGATGTGTAGCTACAAATCCTATGATTAAAAAGACTAAACATAGTAACCTGGCAGAATTAACTGTTGTACCACCCAAAGAATCACCGACTGCACCAGTTTTAATGCCCATGAAAACATCACCTAATGCTACTGTTTTACTGGGCAATGCTTTAACTTTATACTGTGCCATTACTGGTTGGCCCACACCGATTTTTCAATGGAAAAAAGGTAACATATAAATTGCCATTATTAAGGTCACTAACAAACATTTTGATTTTTAGGCAATGATACGGTTATAAGTAACTCTAGCTACCTTACAATAGATAGAGCTGAGCTCCATCATGCAGGAAACTATTCTTGTACAGGTTCAAATTTAGAAGGAAAAATTAGTCGGATATATTCCTTAGTGGTTTACCAAAAACCATATTTCAGGATAACACCTACTTCCAAATCTTATCCTTCAGCCATCACTGTTCGCCTAGTTTGTAATGCTAGTGGCATTCCACAACCAAGGATTTATTGGTTAAAAAATGGAAAACAGCTTGCCATTGAAACTAGAATGAGAGTTTTGCCCAGTGAGCTGATTTTTAGCCAAACATTTACCTATGATTCTGGTATGTATAATTCTATAGATTAAATAGTGTGAAGATGGAACGCAATGTTATAACCAGGGTCCCGATCATATGCATTTGCATATAAAGCCCATTTTTACCGGTCATTGCATATTTTACCTAATATTTAGTGATGCATTTTTCGCTATATTTACAATATTTTTCAGTAGCATACCTATTTTTTAATGCCATATGACAAAGCCCTGACGTTCGGGTTTAAACACGCGATGTACTTTTTTTCTTTAGCCTACGGCAGCACGCCTCCCACTAGGCCAGTGATTCCCAAACTTTTTCCTATGACGCCACCTTTTTGATACCATGAAATTTTCACGCCTCCCTGATAATTTTTACAAGAACATAACTGCAATAACATTTATATTTATATATTTCACAAAAAAAATACCACTAATAACCCATTGTGGCTTGTTTCGCTTTTATTGTAGTCTCAAAACAGTTCTATCTAGTTACCTAGATTCCCAAACGAGATAATATGCGGTAAAATGGTAAATAATTCTGACCGCGCCAGTTCCTAAATTAAAAATTCAAATATTTAATTCTTAATATTGATTTTTGAGCAAGAAATAACTTTTTGAATTTTTGTTAAAAAAATTAAATTTTTATTAGGAATTCTGCCTCTCAAGCCCCCTTAACATTACTTCACGCCCCCTAGTTTAAAACCACCGCCCCAGGGAATTGAATAACGCATGTTTTTTATTTATATGTGCAGATATAGCTGACTATCCTGAAACATTTAAATACGAAATATTATCGAGGTCGATGGCGAGAAACATTTTGTGCGCAAAAAAGTTTCAAGTAGTGATGGTTCTTGACTTATGGGAAAAAAATGCCTATTTTGACACTTCATGTATATATTTTTTGCAAAAATTTGCAGCATATTCATGTTGCATATTGTTATAGCCATGTAGGTATTTTTAATTTATCTTTTTGCTGTTCCACTGTGGGCCAGAAATTCCCTACACATTGAAAAAGTCAATTTTTAATAATGATGGAACACTAAGATTTTTTATGCTAAAAACGGTGAAGTAGACCATTAAGCTTTCAAAAACAACAGAAATATGTCTGTGAAATTGTATGTTGACACACGGGGGTTTGACAAATGTCTGTAAATTTAATACTTATTGTCTGGTTTATTTTGTTTAAACAAATCGCTTAAGTTTAAGACATTACAGTTGAAGGTGGATTAACTTTTTGACACGCAGTTTGAGTTTGCCAGGTGCAGGCAAGTTCAAGGTTCTATACCATTTAAATTTTATGCATTTCTTTGCGAATTTACAAAAAAAAATAATGATTTAGTGAACGCATGTAAAAGCAAAAATTAACATTTCACATGGTTATTTCACCAGATATATATCAAGATCTACACTGAACTACACGTTTTTATTGATGCTCTTAAACTCTCCAGTACTCAAGCTTTATTATCGAAAAAAAAACTTTTGCCGAATTTTGCCTATCCAGGAGAAAACTCAAGATTTTCTGTGTGGTCTTTTACAATTTGATTCAAAATAAAGCTCTATTCGGGTATTAATTGAAAGGTTATTAGGCCTAAATTGTAAAAGACTTTTTGAATATGAATATTAAGAGTTCATATTAGCGATTTTTTTAAACAAAATCTAAGCACGGCACTGGATTCACGACCCCTCAAAACGACCCTTTACTAAATTTTATTGAAAAATTTTAAGTTGAAAAATGCACAATAATATCTACAAAAATGTATTCTGTCAAGTTATCCATGAAAAACACATTGAAATAAAATTAAACTAATAGTAACATGGTATTATTGCCATTATTATATTAGGTATATAGTATTGTTTATTTTTATACTTAAAATTTTTTAATAAAATTTAGTATAGGGTTGTTTTGAAAAAATCGCTAATATGAATTCTTAAAAATTAACTCTTAAAAACTGACATAGTAGGCATTGTATTTTGTAAAAATATGGCGTTTTTTGCTCCAAAAATACAGTTTATCAAGAAATACACTTTAAAATAAATACGGTTAAAATCGCACAATAAATAAAGATTTTACAGGGGTGAATCGCAAACAAATATCTCACACTATATATATATATATATATATATATATATATATATATATATATATATATATATATATTAGGGTGTTTCAAAAAAAACTTAAATTATTTTTTTTTCTAATGGTGTTGAAAAATTAATAATACATTAAAAAACAAAAATTTTGGCGCATATTTGAGCCCTTAATATTAATATTAAGGTTTGCCTCAATTCATTTGTTGTTTTTCCATTTCAATAACACGGGAATTTTTATTTTTTAAATTTTGAATTCTTATAACTTTGGAATGGTTTGTTTTCGCAACACCCAAGCGAGAGGAGTTATAGACAATTTCACGCTCTACAAAAAACATCTGAAGGTCAAAGTTCTTCAGGTCAACCGTTTCAAAGATATCAGCGATCAAAAATAACACTAATAAAAAATTTTTTCAAATAAAATACAAAAAAATATCATATGCCATATTTATATTATTTTTTATGTAAAATCACTTCAATTGTGTTAACCTGAGACTGTAAACTTTTTTATGTATATATATATATATATATATCACTCGCGTTACATCGTAAGGACATACGATTTACCTTTCCATAAACTTTTTATTATTTTTGCGTATTTAACAATAAAACTACTCTTAAATAACAAAAATAAATCAAGGTTAAACAAACATAAAGAAACTTATACAAATATTAATGTTTTTTTCATACATTTGGTTTTAAAAAATAAACAAAATAAAGTGGTAACTCGCGTTACATTAAGCTTCGACCCTTGCCAAATTGACAATTCTTATATTCTTCTATAATCCGGCGGTTTCCACAAATTAGTTTCCGATAATCCGGCGTTTTCGTCTAAACACGTTTATTATCTATTGTTATATTGCAAAGTATGTCATACTTCTATTTCTGATGAGATACTGAGAGAAAAGGCTATATTTTTTATCAAAAAATTGTGTTTATTTACTGTAAATACATAAAGAAATACACATAATAAAATACATAATATGTACTCTTAAACACTAAATACAGTGTTACAATAATGAGAAAAATATAATAACAAAAAATTAATGAGCTTTTCCAATAATTCGGCGTTTTCCGTAATCCGGCTATCACTTGCAGTTGACGAGGCCGGATTACTGAGATTCTACTGTGTATATATTATTGTATATATATATATATATATATATATATATATATATATATATATATATATAGATAGATAAAGGGTACATTGTCACCTCCAAAACGGAGACCATTCATACGTTGTGACCTCATATATGACGCTGTGACCTCCAAATTCGGAGGTCACAGTGTTTAACCATATTTTTGACATTGGGGGAGTGTCAGTAATCAATCTGTGCAAAAATATTTCGGAGGTCACTTTGACCCCCCAGTCTCTTAAAAAGGAACTTTTAGTTCCACCATATATGAATTGGCGCTAGTGTCGCTTTTTAATCAGATTCAGCCACACCAAAGTTACCTCCGTCATGTATACGTACATTTGTTACCTCCGAAATTTGGCAACCTTGCAATATCTCGCGCAGTCATAGATGTTCAGACTTGATGATCATTAATACTTCTTATATGTTATTTGTTACGCAGTTTCGCTTTTGTTCTAACATCTTAAGTGTAAAATAACGATTTAAGTTAAAAATATATCTTCCAGGACTTAATTAATAATCCAGAGAGTCGGTTTTCAAGGTAAGTAAGTTTTTAGTACATAATTAGGTAAATGCATTATGTTTATAGAAATGGATATTGTAAAATAATTCTTTTAGATTTAGACGATACTAGTAATGATGAAATCATTACCAAAAAAGATAAAGAATTTAAACAAAAAAAAGTACAAAATGATTTTAACACATAAAATGTGTTTAAACAATATTTTTTACTCACAAAATCTTTTTTCACTTTTATTTGTTTAAAAATGTGTTATTATTTTTAGGCTGCACAAATATGGAAATCGGGTTAATAAACGATAAATTCCTTAACCATATTAAAAAAATATTTATTCATCTAGCAAAGAAATTAAATCTTTTCTAGAACAAACGAAAATAAAAAGAAGTGTATCCCTTATTAAAGCCAAAGTCCAACACCTTAAGAAAAACGAAAAAAAAAACATTAATTAGTTACCCTTATGATAATTATAATTATAATAATTATTATTCATAACTATTTTAATAGATAAAAATGTTTTACTTTACTTATGTTTTTTAATTATCCCTATTTATTGTTTACTTAAATTTCTTTCTTATATTTTTATTAATATAATAATAAAAATATCAAAAATATTAAAAATAAAAATATTAGAAATAAAGAAATAATTAAAAAAGTAAAATTGATAAAAATAATAAAAATAAATAAATAATGAAGATTGTAAAAGGAATATAAATAATTGAAGTAGATACCTACGTAATAAAAATATTAACAAAAAAAATAATTATAATAAAAATACTTAGTAAAAATAACAAAAAAAATTAGAAAAAATAAAAATAATACAAAAATACAATTGAAATATTAAAAATAATAATAATATCTACTAATAAATATTAAAATAACAAAACTTATTGATAATAATAATATTAATAATAATTAATAAAGTCAAGTCGTTTGAAAAGTTTTTAAAAAACTACTTGCAAGCAAAACAGTACATATACTATGTGACCCATTTTTTTTAAAACTCACCCCTGTAAAATCATTAATTATTGTGCGATTTTAACCGGATTTGTTTTAAGGTGTAGATCTTGATAAACTGTATATTTTAAGCAAAAAACGCCATATTTGTACAAAATGCAAGGCCTACTATGTCAGTTTTTAAGAGTAATTTTTTAAGAATTCATATTAGCGATTTTTTTAAACAAAATCTAAGCACGGCACTGGATTCACCACCCCCTCAAAACGACCCTTTACTAAACTTTATTAAAAAAATTTAAGTAGAAAAATGCACAATAACTACAAAAATGTATCGTCGTTAATAACGACTCGTTATCCATGAAAAAAACATTGAAATAAAATTAAAAATAAATAAAATTAAAAATAAATAAAATTAAACTTATTAAAATTAAACTTATAATAAATACTTACCATGTTATACTATTAGTTTAATTTTATTTCAATGTTTCTTTCATGTATAACTCTTAAAAACTGACATAGTAGGCCTTGTATTTAGTAAAAATATGGCGTTTTTGGTTCAAAAATACAGTTTATCGAGATTTTACCTTAAAACAAATCTGGTAAAAATCGCATAATAAATAAAGATTTTACAGGGGTTATGTAATAAAACATTTTTTTTGCCATTATACCTGCAAGACCTATTATATACCAATACGTTCTTTTTTAAATCAAATAAATTATTTATTTCAAAGTACTCCATTTTTATTATTTTTAATATTTTGTCTTTTATAACAAAAATAATAATAATTATTATTATTACTAAATAATGTATGGCACATATAGCACGAAGCAGTGGACAAAATAAATCTGATATATATCCCAGATACTAAAGATACGTTGCGACCTCCGAAAATCCGGCAACACTGTCGGAGGATACAAGGCTGTTTGTTTCTCCGAAATTATATATATGGTCAATTCTCATATAACTTGTTCCGATGCTGTATCCACTTATTTTTGTGAAAACTAATTCTCGCTCAAGGTTTTTTTTTAGTGTAATAAGCATGTAGCCTTTCAAGGTAATGGGAACTTAAATTATGACAACCCTAATCTATTAATTTTTTCCTAAAATGCAGGCTTTATGTTGAAAATGTCACATAAGTTACCGGTCACCAACTGCAATATCCTAACATTGATGAATATTTTAACAAAATGGCTGTTGAAACAACTAATGTTAATGCTTGATTAACTAAAAATAGACTTAAGATTGACAAAAAATTATTTTATCCGAAATCGGCAGTAAAGTAGTCAACAATCGTAAATTAAAATAAATCGGCAGTAAAGTTCTACTTTACTGCCGATTTCGGATAAAATAATTTTTCGTCAATCTTAAGTCTATTTTTAGTTGATCAAGCACTAACATTAGTTGTTTCAACAGCCATTTTGTTAAAATATTCATCAATGTTAGGATATTGCAGTTGGTGACCGGTAACTTATGTGACATTTGCAACATAAAGCCTGCATTTTAGGAAAAAATTAATAGATTAGGGTTGTCATAATTTAAGTTCCCATTACCTTGAAAGGCTACATGCTTATTACACTAAAAAAAAAACCTTGAGCGAGAATTAGTTTTCACAAAAATAAGTGGATACAGCATCGGAACAAGTTATATGAGAATTTACCATATATTCGGAGGTGACTTTGTATCTTGAGTATCTCCAGTTTGCGTAAAAAAATTGACATTTTAAAAAATTAAAAATTGCTTCCCCTCTTGTGGTGGCGTTAATATTTAAGGCTCCCCCCCGCAATATATGCAATCAAAATAAAAATCGTCCATTCCTCAGACCCGGAGGAGAGGTGGCCCTCTCAACTTAACGGAGGTCACAGCTGACCACTTATCTATATATATATATAGGTTTTCTACTTTACGCCAGTAGTAGGCAACCAATATTGCAAAGACTGAAATGCCTTTCATCTTGCCACGGAGCCGGGCTCGAATAAATATATATATATATATACGCCTAAAAGTACCAAGTGACACCAAAAACTACATGGACGTTCCCGCACCCAATATTTTTTGCGCCTAATGTGAATTAATGGCACCTTATATATTTTTTAAGTATATATGCGTTCTGACACTATACAGATATATAATACCTTTATTTGAAAGTCAGTGTTTATAAAAGTAAAACTAAAATATTGCTCGCTTTAGGAAGTCCTTTGTCGAAATAGTCAGATGTTTCGAATAAAATACTTATTGTCATCACATTTATTTTACTTTTCGTTTTAAATATTCTAAATTAAAAACTAACCTTGGAGAATACACAAACAGTCATTACAATAATTTAAATAGAACTTTGCAATAAATTTCGTTTTAGCAAAAATTTACAAGAAACGATCCGTTCGCTAACACTTCCAAAAACTTTCTGCCTGTTTTTTGCTTCCCTTTACTCGATTCGTGTACCTGGACCATCGTTTCTGGAATCATCCGGACGCCAGATTTTTAGGCAAAGTTCGAAAAACCTGTAATTCCTTTACCTAAGTGTCCCTTTTTACCACTTTTGCAAAACTTTTTGCCTTTAACACGATAATTTAGAAATTTCAAATTTATTCTAAAATAAATTTGTAAAATATATAAAACTACGTTAATTTCCTTGAAAATAAATTTGTAAACCGTGTCAGTACGGAACAATTACAATATTTACATAAAGTTCGTTTTTGGGTGTACAAAACAAAAAATCCATTTTTACACAATTCATGTGATTGCTGTTTTTTCACGAATATAAATTGTGACAATAATAATTTTGGCATACCGAGTTTTTTAAATTTAATTTACATTATTATACAGGGCCTGCATATTGAGACATGTGATCTTATTTAAGGGCTAAAGTAAATTTGGTATTGCAATAACAATTTTGTTTGCCCTTTATTATAAAAAAATTATCATCCTCTTGCCCGTTCAATTATCATTTACTAATATGTCTTTATAAAATTATCAATTTTACCCATTTTTGGGGGCAACCGTTCTGGCAAACTAGCTATGAAATGACATAAAAATAAAATCCTTGTGGGGGCCCAGCCTATAATTGCCCCAAAACATTAAAAAACTTATTTCCATTGTATTATCTGCAAGACGAAAAACGTGACGCGACGCTTAAAAATTATGGCAACATTGTAAGATTGCTTAGATTGCTAGTTATCTTTGAATGTTATAAAAATATGTTATTATTTTTCTATTATTTTAGTAGTACGACAAAATTTAAATTATTTTCTCAAGATTACAGATTTTGAAAATAGACTTAAAAAATGATACCCGTATCTCGGCATGTTTTCAGATCACGGCTTCAATAACAGCTAAATGTATAGTTTTTGAAAAATTTTATTTAATGAATAAATTTTATTTAAAAAAAACTCAAAAATAATTTTTTTTTTAATTTATAGAATTTTTTTTTATTTAATTTTTTTTTTAAGTATAATTTTTCTATTAAGTAAAACATGAATATTTGAAAAAATAATTTATAACAAAATAGAAAATAATAACAATAATAAGAATGGCTGTATAAAAAATTTTAATGACGTGTTTTCGTAAAACGGTAAGTCACGGACATGTTTTTTTAACCTATATTTTAAAATCTGTTAAATTTAAACCTTATTTAAAAAAAATATTCTTTCGCATTTTTTTAATAAATAATAATAATAATAAATAAAAATAATTATTTTTATTTTCAATATAAAAACTTAAAAAATTTGTGAAATCAGGGGGCCCAGTAAAGATTTTCGCGGGGGGGGTCAATATCTGCCTGCTGTTATTAAGTATTGATTTTTATTTTTTAAATATTAACAAGAAAATACTTAAGAAAATCTTCTAATGCTTTTTTACTAATTTTTGTGACCTAGTAATAAAACGTGCAAAAGCATCCCTAGTTTCCGCAAATAATTGATTGTTTCCCTAATTAATTTAAAAAAGTTTAAATACTTAGTACCTACTTACCACCAAAAACTTTGTATTTTTGATCCATTTTTATCTAATTTCACTACTTCACTAGCCGTAAATAATACTAAGACTAAGGAGCCAAATAGATACTATAGTATCTATTTGGCTCCTTAGTCTTAGTATTATTTACTAAGTATACCTAATAGTAAATTAAATTAAATCTTAAATATCGGAAAAGGTCTAGAATCTACATAGACTCAAGAAATACATGGTGCCGCAACGTCCTATTGTATATATTCTATCATGGTGCCGCTACGTTGTATAGTTTACTTACGTAGTTAGCGCCCTCTGTAGATTATATGGTTCAACTAAAATTGTACTTTTCTATATATATAGTCCAAGTGGCACCATCTGGAAATTTTGTAGGGATAATACTATGACACATTAGAGTTTATATATGAAATAAAACGTTCTGGCACCTTGAAATGGTGCCACAACGATTATATAGGTGCCACTTGGCCCATATATATCCGAATTTGGTGCCTTAACGCCTGTTTGTATATATATATATATATATATATATATGGTATACATAATATATATATATATATGTATTACATATACGTATATATGGTATACCATATACATTAATTTGTAATTTTTCTCATCATATCCGCATTTTTATGGAATGTCCCATATAGTAATATCATTGATTAACGGTAATAATATTAAAAAAATCTGTAATAGTATTAAAAAAATCTGTAAAATATAAAAAAATGTACAATTCGTTTATATATCGTTTATATATTATATTAAACGATATATAAACGAATTGTACATTTTTTTATATTTTACAGATTTTTTTAATACTTTGTCATGTCTCGGTCTTAACCGAGAATTTATTTTGTTATCGGTCTCTTTCTCGGTCGAGACTAAAAAATTAAGTTCTGTCGGACCTTACTCTTGAAGTAATAACATCCGAATTATATTTACTATTTTTTTTGTATTATATTTGTAGGTATATACCAATGTGTGGCCGTAAATTCAGTTGGTAAAGTCTGGACGGCCGTTGAAATCCTAATTAACGTATCCGATAAGAAACCAAATCCACCTCAAAATGTTAAATGTAAACCTTACAACGAAACAAGCGTTTGTTTGACTTGGCAACTACCAAAAAACGTCGATGCGCAGGCCTATACTATTGATAACGTTAATGCGGGTAATTAGAAAATTTTAATGAGGAAAATCAAATTTAATATTTTTTGTTAGGTTTAGATCACCCTGGACCTTCTCTAACTAATGAGACTTTTAAACTATGGCGAGGACTGAATTTAAGTACAACCTACCAGTTTTATGTAAGGCTTTACTCCAAAGTGGCAAGTGATCCCTCTGAGATTGTGTCCTGTGAAACAGGTAGGAATATTTAAAATATATGTATGTATGTATTTTTGTAAAATTTAAATTTTAGCAAAAGTTGCTAAAAGAATAATCCAAAACAAGATATTGAACACCACCACCGTAAAATTTCAATGGGAAGAATTAATCTCAGACACACCTTGTGGCGGCAAAAGGGGCTACTACAAATTACAGTGGAGAAGAGCCAGTTCCCCTGTATCTAACACATATAAAACAACAGAAACGCAATATGTTATTACAGGTAAATATACCCGTATATACCATGTAAGAAAGTAATAAACCATATTTGTGGCCTTTTCAAGATAAAAGGTATCTCTTTTTCTATTTTTTGAAAGAGATTTCGGAACAGCACCAATCAACACCAAAACAAAAACAAAATATTGAAAGCTCATATAAGTAATTGATTAAATCAAACTTGTTAATTGTTTATTCACTGCTAATAATGATAAATACTTCGATAATTACTTATTAAAAATACAGCATTTTTAAAAATTGTTATTTTGTGTACTTTGCGCGTTTTCCCTCATTTACCCTGTATATTAATTTATATTTTCTGTTAAGAATTAAACTAAAAAATTTAAAATTAAACTACAAAAATGCAACCAATAATAACAAAGGATTTTGTTGAATAATAATAATTATAAAGAAAATTAAGGGTATGATTTTGAATAAAGCTTGATAAAAATAATGGCCTTTATTGAAAAAATATTAAAATTTACGATTTTAAATGGCGAAGTTTAAATTTTAAACAAAAAATAACATTGAAAAAATGAAAACATGTATTTTTTTATTTGTTTTGCAAATTTTTTAAAAACTTATTGAAACGTTTTATTACTCCCAATTGTTTTCGATAATCGCTGTATTTAAAAATGTACTTGCCAGTAAATATTTTTATCTTCAATTGGTCTATAATTTAAAATTTATTGTTGTCAACACTTGTTATACTAAGGTTATTGATTATGGTCTAGGCACTTAAAAATAATTCAGACCAATTGGGTTAATTTATTTATGGCCCAGGCCGTAATTATTTACTAATTTGGACCAATCAAAATTCGACTTAATCTAACCTTACTTTTAATAGTTGTTCGTTTTATGTTTATGTATGTTTAACAAATAAAATCTGTTGTTAAAAGGCATAACAGAAAAGTAAAAAAAGCATTTTTTTAGTAAAGCCTTAAGCAATGTTTAATAAACATATGAATATGTAAATATGTGAATTCACATTTAATTCAGGAAATATATTTATGGTTAGTGGGTATATACAGTGTGGATCAAAAGTTTGGAATATTGAATGGAAATTTTGAAATATCGAAAATATTAAAATATGATTTTAATATAAGTTGTTTGGTAGTTCATTTTAAATTTTACGGTGATATTACCAACTTAAAAAAATAAATACGTTGCCCCCCAAGGAGGACAACTTTTTTTTTTAATTACAACCCCATTTTTTTATATCAGAATTTGAAATAGGCTTCTTTTCTGATTACAACGGTGTATTAATATTGAACCAATATAGGAATAGCTGGCCATACACAGACGTTATTGCGCGCGGTTTATCGTGTTATCTGCAAAAACATATGGAAAATCATGTACGTGAGTGAGTATCGCCGCGCGCAATGATAGAACGGGAAGGGATTTCAGACGTGCTTTCCTCTGGAGTGTGGAGTGTCCACACGCCACATTCCGCGTCACGGTTTACCTTTGCTTGGCAAAATTTCACGTTCAATATTTGTACATGATCACATGCAGTGATTCGATAAATGACACTTTGTGCCCACTCACATACGATTTTTCCTTTGAAACTGATATACCACGGGCAATCACTTGCTAAATCATTTGAATACTTTATCAAGTGTATGGAACACGACGCTTTTTTTGCCATGCCGTTCTTTCGTGCATACTAACCGCTACATCCCAACACGCCACGATAAACCGCGCAAAATAACGCCTGTGTATGGCCAGCTAATGATATCAGGTGATTGAGCGTTAAATGTAAAAAAAAATTAAATTTTTATAAAAGTCTTTTGTTTTAGTTTTTTTAGGCTTTACCTCGTTTACCTGTAATTTATTTTTAATTCGACATTCAGTGCAATTTTCACCTGTAATAGTGTGCTAATAGTAAAATAAATAGCTACCGTTTTAAAAAACAATGCATACTGAAAAAGAAAGAGTTGATAATGATTATTATTATTATAAAATAAGCCTCTGACACAATCATGAGTAAGCAAAATTCTAAAAAAAAATCTGAAACCGGAAATGTGAAAAATAGGACTATAGGTCGACCAAAATCTGCCACTGCTGTAGATTTTCCCTGAATGTGCCCGAGACAGTTATGCGTCAATGTAAAGGTTATTTAAAAGAGAAAAAATGCATCCCTATAAGGTGCAGTTGTTGCAAGAATTAAGTGAGGACGATTTTGATTGTAGGGCTTAGTTTTGTGAAATTTTGTTGGAACGTTGTAATCAGGATCCAAATTTCTCAACAAATAAAATTGTTCCCTGGGAAAAATATTGAAGTAGACAACAACATTTGGTTCCAGCAAGACGGTGCTCCACCAAATTTTGGTTTGACAGTATGGAGATACTTATGCCAGGTATTTCTGAACAGGTGGATTGGTAGACAAGGGCCAATAGAGTGGCCTGCTAGGTCTCCAGACCTAACACCATTGGACTTTTTTTATGGGGTCATTTGAAGTCAGTGGTGTACAAAAATAGGCCAGGCAATCTTCAGGTTCTCAAAAAAAGAATAGTTGATGAAATTCATAATGTTCAAGACATTTGTCTGCAAAATGTAAAACAAGAATTTGAAAATCGTTTAGGCCACTTTAAGGCCGTTAAGGGCGAACATTTTTAAAACTTACTTTAATACTGCCTATTCTTGTTTTTATGCATTATTTTGAATAAAGGTTTTTTTCAAATTCTAGGCCATTTTGCTCAAATATCCTTATGTATCATACTAATATTAATATACTGTTGTAATCAGAATAAAAGCCTCTTTTAAATTCTGTTTAAAAAAAAAGTAGGCCTCCTTGGGGGGCTACGTATTTATTTTTTTAAGTTGGTAATGTCACCGCAAAATTTGAAATAAACAATTAAACAACTAAGTATTATAAAAATCATTTTTTAATATTTTTGATATTTCAAAAGTTACACTCATACATTTCATATGCTGGCAAAAGCGTATACACGCTAACCATAAATATATTTCCTGAATTAATGGAAATGCGTTTAGGGATTTACTAAAAAAATGCTTTTTTATGCCATTTGTGTTTTGAAACAATTTTTATCATTTTTATTAAACGCGTCGAATCAAAAAATAATACATTCACTAAAGTACTTGGGACATCAAAACGTATACCCCGCATAACTTTCATATTTAACAGATTTAATTCCTGGCGCCCACTACGAGTACAAAGTGACTTCGCCAAATTACGTCGGAGAGAAGGGCCAATGGGTGTCAATAGTATTGCCAAATCCTGGGGGTGAACCGGTGGCACCGGAAATATTTACGGATAGTGCCAAGCGCATGACTGCCAAACCGGATCATTTTGGCGGAGCTCCTTTAAATTCTAGTTCAGTCAAACTTAGCTGGTCTGATATGAAGGATGCCGTGAAGTACTACACTATTTGCTATGTGCCTGTTAAAGATCAAAAAGATTGTAAAGAGGGGAAGTTGGTGAGGAGGTAAGAAACTTTTAAAAACAAAATTAAAACACAATTTGTATTGTCCTCTTATTTTCAGCTTTTCCAATAATGTTGTTATTAATAAATTAAAACCAAACACTTTGTATGAGTTTAAAATAAGGACACATAATTTTGAAAACGAACCTAGCATGTTTTCTCAAGCTATTGAAGTTCAAATGCCTCCAGGTGGTAAGTTTTTATAACTTTTATTTTTACAAAATTAGGAACAATACATGTAATTCTTTATTTTAAAATATATTGTAAACATGTTAAAGAAATAATAAATCAAATCACAAACTGATAAAATTTTAAAATATTAAAATTCCTAAAAGCTTTATTTATTAAGGCAAAACCAATAAATAATTTAATCAAATGGTAAAATTAATTAAGGGTCTCAAATCGACCAGGCAAAAAGGGGTGGGTCGATATTTTTCAACGAATTTTGTTTTCCAGTTTCTCTACCGAAATCGTTGAGACCCGTATTTTTTCTTTTTGCCTAAATTTGTTTTGTTCACCTTTAGGAAGTTTTTGAAAAATGGACAGAAACATCGATTTTTCCTTTTTTACGAGTGACATTTTTTTTTAATGCGTTAACGTGGCCAAAACTGTTTTGAGGTTTACAATTTTTTTTTGAATTGTACATAGGTAAATGTTTACTACATACAAAAAAAAATAAGTGAATCCACTCAATTATTTTTTGTCCCAAGTTGACTAAATTTTCGGAATTATTATTTTTTTAATGAAAATGCCATTTTCTAGTAAATTCGTGGTTCATCGCAAACATTTGGTACTTACTTACTTAAGAGCATTTCCGGTGAAACCAGAAATGACAAAAATACGTTAAATACGTCAAAAAGTTCTAAATTAGACTTTATAAAAGATAAAATTTCAAATTTCTGCGATTAACCACGAATTTACCAGAATCTGGCATTTTCAATAAAAAAAATAATAATTCCAAAACAATGAATTTAGCCAATTCGAAACTTTTGGTGAAAGTTTTTCATATTATCAACTTCAAACAAAAAAATATGAATTAAAAAATGTGGCAATGGTCAAATTTTTTAGAAAAAAAAACAATAAAAAAAAAGTTGAGTTAATTCATTTTTTTTTGTATGAATTCAAAAAAAAATTGTAACGATTGAAACAGTTTTGGAAAAGTTCACTCGTGTGTCACTCGTAAAAAGGGAAAAATCGATGTAGGTACTGTCCATTTTTCAAAAATTTCCTACGCGTGAACAAAACAAATTTAAGCAAAAAGAAAAGAAAAAATACGGGTCTCATTAATTTCGATAGAGAAACTGTAAAAAAAAAATTGTTAAAAAATAACGACCCCTTTTTACCTGGTCGATTTGAGATGGAAAGGCCCTTAATTAATTTTACCATTTCATTAAATTATATATTGGTTTTGCCTTAATAAATAAAGCTTTTGGGAATTTTAATATTTTATCAGTTTGTGATTTGATTTATTATTTTAGCCTGTAAAAGTCATGGAATTTTGCCTTATAAAAAAATTATAAATTCTAATAACATAAAGTAGTTAATCAGGTTTTACATTTAAGTAAACTAATTACGTCATTAAATATAGGTTAAATATTTTTTTAAATTTAGACTAGGTTATTAAAGCAGTAGAAGCTTTATGTTTTTATATTAAAATAAAACTGAATATATATATATATATATATATATATATATATTAGGGTGGTCCTTAGCTATAGAGGTAAAAGATATACTTTTAATATTGAATTGTCCCACCCCCCCATTTTGTTATAACACAAGAGAAAAAAAATTACACAAAAATTTGAATGACCAACTCAACCCCTTCACGTGCCTGTGAGGGGTTGAATTTTGACAAAATCCCCAATTTTTAAGGTTTTTGCCATTTACTCCGCAAAAATCGCATATCTCAAAAAATTTTACTCATTAAAATCTTTTCGTCTATTAAAGGTCTATAAAAATTGTCTCTTGAGATTTTATCCTAGAAAGCACCATTTCCTACACAAACCTTAAATTTGTGGTAATTAGGCACAAATGCAATTTTCCACGAAATGGTGCTTTCTACCTAGGATAAAATCTCAAGAGACAATTTTTATAGACCTTTAATAGACGAAAAGATTTTAATGAGTAAAATTTTTTGAGATATGCGATTTTTGCGGAGTAAATGGCAAAAACCTTAAAAGTTGGGGATTTTGTCAAAATTCAACCCCTCACAGGCACGTGAAGGGGTTGAGTTGGCCATTCAAATTTTTGTGTAATTTTTTTTCTCTTGTGTTATAACAAAATGGGGGGGGTGGGACAATTCAATATTAAAAGTATATCTTTTACCTCTATAGCTAAGGACCACCCTAATATATATACAAATATATTGTTAAAAAACCATAAATTGGCATTTGAAATCAAAACATAAAAAAATTTCTTTGCAGTTCCTTCTCCTGTGGTTAACCTAAGACACCAAGTAATTAACGATTCCACAGCATGCATATACTGGCAAGCACCAATACACAAAAACGGAAAACTTCAAAAATATTTTATATCTTACACGCCGGATCGCGACTGGCCCTTGGAGCAATGGTACAACATATCTATACCGTCATACCAAAGAAAACCGGCGTCGTGTTGGCATGACAACAACGAGACCGCGTCCTTTTACCTGAAGAACCTGAGCCCCAAAAAACACTACACTGTTTTAGTGAGGGCAGCGTCGGATATGGGTATAGGCAACCCAACGTTACCTATCGTAGTTACCACTAGTAACGTTGAATTGAAAATGCCAGATAAACAGAATGAAGTCAGACAACATCAAACAATAGGTATGAAAGGCAAATAAATAATTTCAAAACCACAATATTTTAATTTACTAATTATGTTAAAAAGATAAAACTGAAATAATTGATTTTTTATATGAAACTGTATATAATAATGTCAACTATGTCAAGCATATCTCTCTTATTTAGTTTGTTTTCAATACAACCACTAGTAAACTATGAGTCATTCCATTTAAAATTATCTAATTGGCAAAACCAGCCGATGTTATATTTTGCTTAAACTTGATGTTCTTTCTTTAATTTAATTTTCGCGTGTTTATTTCCGGCCCGCACAAATTAACCATTTCCATGCAACAATTCGAGTTAAGAATGTAGAAACTATAAATTTTAGTTTAAAATGTAGGGTTAAGTTTTCTGCTTTCCTATTGGCTCCGGGAGCCGACGGAACAGGAAATTGAAGCCCGCTGCACAATAGCCCGGTAAAGGGAACGGGAATCTGAACAGTTAAGGTGGGAGAGACTGTTAATAGATAGTGTTTGAGTCTCTCCTACCTTTACCGTTTAGGTTCCCGTTCTCTTTACCGAGCTGTTGTGCAGCGGGCTTTAAAGGCGGATGCGAAAACGAGATCAACTAGGGAGATTTAGGGATTTTAGGTTTAACAATTTATTATTACCAATTAAATTATCAAAGTTTTTTTTTGTAACTATTAACTACTAATTACTAATTATATATTTTTGACTTTGAAAACGAAAAAAATTAAAAAGGCTTTTATGTTTTTTACATGTATTTTAAATATTAATATTATAATCTTTTAATGTTAAATAACATATATTACAGAATGAATTATTCATCGGATGACAGAATAACACATAATTCCACAAATATGCAAATCATTTTTAACTTAACCTGTTTCCATTTCGTAGGGTTATAGGGACAACTAGGGTTGGGATTTTGACCGGTCAAAATCTTTTGTGTCAATTGACTAAGCACCGGTCAAATTCCTTCGTTTTTTTCTAAAGAAATGAAGGCATGAGTAAAATTACTTAATTTTAAATAGAAACGTATATTTATTGAAAAACAACTAACAAAAAATAAAGAAACCATTCTGAGGTACAAAAAAACATTCATAATATCATTGTTTTTAAGAACATTCACGTCTAGCTCGCAGCAGAGCAGCAACAGCAGCCCAGCAGGTAAGACCTGAAGATGGTACATGAGATTCTTTTAAGAACCAAAAACCGACAACGCGGTAGATAACAGCACATCATCCTCTTCACTGAACCCACCCTCGCCATTATCTTTACTCTTAAAATTAATTAGTTAAAAATGACCCAGAACACTATTTAAAAAGCATTATTATGATTGCACCATGGTCCACTACCGAACATTTTTTTAATACTTTTGATATTTTCCGCTAGGTAGCGCCACCGCCGCGCGAGGTTGAGTTAAAAGTTTTTGACCGATTTTGACATGGTCAAAATGTCTCCTGTCAAAATAGGTAAAAATCTCGGTCAATTGACCAGGCACAACCCAAGTGAAATCACTAATTAATATAATGCCATTTTTTATACAAATTTTAAATGTAATAGTTATAGTTAGTACTACTATAGTAGATATGTCCTATATAGTATAATTTCTGGTAGGCACATTTGAGGTAGCCCTTGAGATTATTCTATAATACCAAATGACGGCCTTGATTCGCCCCATTTAGGTAATATGCGGAACATGAACGGTCATAACAATGACGTCCTTCTTATTTTGGTTATGAAACTCCGGTACATTAACGGTCATAAAAATGACGTCCCTTATTCGCCTTATTTTGTAAATGAAATGTCTGGTACATTAATGTCGTCATAACAATGACGTCCTTGATTCGTCTTATTTTGGTTATTAAATATCCTGTACACTAACGATCATAAAGATGACGTCTTTGATGCGTCTTATTATGGTACTTGGCGTATTTTGTCCAAAATGACCAATAATCAACTTTTAGAAGACGTCACTCGACGTCTATCTGTTTTCTGGGACATACCACTTTAACGGCTGGATTTTGACATGTTAATAAAAAAATTATTGTATTTCATATCGAAAATTTGTCTTTAAAGCACAGGAAAAAAAACGATTAATGCTTAATTAAACTTACCCCTTAAGCAGGACGCGGGGTGTACAAAACACCCCAGCATCCTAAATATAGCAACCGGTCTCACTTCGATTCGAATAAATGGCGCTTACTTTCAGTAACTACCTTCCTGTCGAAGTATTGTCAGTCACACAGAACATAAGGTCAGTCATATTACATTGCCGATTTTGAACTTAATGTGATAGGTTGTCTGGTATTTTGTTTCAAACAGGCTCTGGGTGCTGTGGACACCCCGTGCGCCTTCCCACGTACAATTGTTTTGCATTAATTCGTTAAGTTGATTTTTTCAACTCTTGTTATTAGTTCACAAAAAAGCAATTGGAACGCACGACAAAATATATTTTTATCTTGAAAGCATTGCGTTATGTGTTGCTTGTTTTCGTTCGTTCTAATATTTTGTGTAAACAACAAATAAAAATTTGCCAAAACATCTCCTCCCAATAATTTCCAAATTATGAGGTATTCCTGCAAGACCCTGAAGGGCAGATGTGTAATTTGTCCAAGGCAGAAAGTAAAAGGTGTGCCAAGAACATGTGCATGAAGCACAGGAAAAATGTTTGTAAAGAATGCTTCGTTTCCATAGTAAATTCTAGTATCGAAAGTGAGTGACTTTGAACAGGCTGGGTTTCGTCTCCCTATAGGCCTATTGACTCTTTTTACTGAATCATAATTACTTAGTGTTTTTTTTTTTGTTTTTATTAATATTATGACTTTTAAATTTTGAGTTTAAAATTTTTATTAAAATTGTCGTCTTTTTCTTTTTTTTTGTCATCTTTTATCAAATTTGAACGTAACGAAATATGCTCTCATTCTCTTTCAGCTCATCTTAACTTGATGGCCTTGAAAAAAAAAAAAAAAATGTGCGCGCGACCTACTACGTTGTATAAAAAGGTGCGTTGTATAAAGAGTACACCCATAATAGTTTAGTATAAACACTCAAGTTTGAGGGTATATACTGGATCTTTAAATGTATACACTCAAATGTGAGTGTTCACACTGATTAGTTGAGTATAAATACTTAAATTTGAGAGTTAATACTGGATTACAACACTCATTCAGCCGAACCATTTTTATAATAATATCAAAACTTTACATTGATCACAAAGCGAATTTATAAAGTTGGGACCATTAAAAGAACGTCAATTAAACTGTCAAAGACTGCCTATCTGTCAATCAAATCAAAGGAAGGTGGCAGCGGCGTGCCGCATGCCGATTATGAGCACAGCGAAACAAAAAATTGAATATCTCCGGAATGACAAACTTTAGAGTCCATCTTATTAAATAGGAATATTTCCCGAATATTTTGACACAAGTTTAATTTTTTTCAACGTTAAGAACACATACCAAATTCAATTGTTTATAATTAATGTATGCAAATTTTTTTTATTTAAACAAATTTACCTTAATAAGGTAAATGATCATTATATAGTCTAAAAATTGGTACAATAATGTGTAAAATTTAATTTAATTATACAGAGTGGTCCCAGAGATTCTATTTTCAATTTTACCGTGCTCTTAAGTTTGACAAAATTATTAACTTTAATAACATTAACAAACAAAAACGAATTTTAAAATAATTTTTTTACTGTGACTAATGCGTAATGCCTACTATACAATAATGTGATTATTTTGAAAATCGGTGATTTCTTGAAATTTTCTGGTCCCACTTGACGTGGCTTGACTCACTTTCAGATTTAAGAATTTCTATAGCTAAAAACATAAGGAATAAAAATAAAACTTTTCAAATGCTTTATTTTATGCAGACTGGTACTGGCACATATAAAATTTAAATCACCTCAGAGTTCTATATTTGGGACCACAAAGTTTAAGCAAAATCTAAAATAGTCCAGAATCATTTTATTCTTTTGTTGATGATTTCGTTTGGCATGACTCTTATTTCTTCCTATGAATCATAGGCTATGACAAACATTTTGTTTAATTAAGATTTGTCAATAACAAAATGTTTAATTAAAAATTCTATCTTTATAATACTTACTTAATTTAATTATGCTTATGTTTTTGTAATTAAGTTAATTACAAAAATATAAGCAAGGAAAACACTATTTTTTAGACCTTTTAAAATAATATTTTGGACTGTTTAAACTGTTAATATTTATATATTTTATTTTAAGAATAGTTATAAATTATATTATTATATATGTTTATGTTTTCAGGCGTTTTAGTTGGCATTGTTCTGGGACTAATAGGCATAATCTGCTGTGTGCTCTTGGTGCTTTTGCGTTGGAGTTGCGTAAAGAGGTCCGCCATGTCTAGGGATCGCGCGTCTGCTTCAAACAATTATTACCCCGCGGTGGCGCTGTACGCTACCCAGAGCAGTTCGGTGCAGGTTAGGCTCGAAGATCCCTGCCTGGCTGACGCGCACGAAGTCGTCCAGCTGGTTGGCGAGGAACATCCGGCCAATATACCTTCAGTCGGATCGACAGAATTAGATACTAAGGTAAAAATACGAATCGTCAGGTTGGTTAGTCACTTTTGCACATTGACAGGTGATGCAATGGAAACAAAAACAATTTAGATTTTTTGTATATTACCTATTTTTATATCGTTTTTTTTTTAGGTTAAGCACTTTTAAAAATGCTCAAAAACCGCTCATTAGTGCTCAAGCGCTTCTAAAATGCGAGTATAAGTATTTTTAAACTCCTCGATATTTCAATTTGGCGCCAAAACTAAAAATCAAGATTGTAACATAACCATCAAATAAATTAGTTTTTCTCTAGTTTCATCTGTTTACATCCAATTTTCCAAATTGAAATGCTTATAAATGCCCGAAAAGCGCTCGATCGCTTTTAAAAATGCTTGATATTTGAATTTACTGACAAATCTAAAAAGCGGGATTATAAAAATGCTTGAAAAGTGCTTAAGGTGCTTAAAAACGCTCGATTAATTTTAAATAGTGCTCGATATATTTTTTTAATACATTTTCTCTTCAAAATAAACTTTATTAATTATAGCGTTTAAAAATGCTCGAGCATTTTTAAGCATTTATGGACATTTTTAAAAGTGCTCAAGCATCTGTCAACTCAAGTTGTTAACAACGTCGCATTATTACTTTATATTTATATTTTGTTGGGTCCCTCTGTATATGATTTGCATTTATCTGTCACCTTGACACCTGTTAAAGTGTTGCTTAATATAATGTTGGGTCCTTTTTTCTTGCAGTATTTTACACAATAGTATTAAACCATTTTAAATGTTTAAAATATAATATCTCTAATAACATCAAATAAACCACAAAACAAGAACTGTTTCATAACAATGTAAACTGACTGCTACCTGCTTTACCAACTACAAATGTTGCAGCAACAGTTCCCTCATAGAAAAACCTATGAGTTATGTGGTATCCCAGGTATACACAATAACACACTGATTGGTTTGGAACAATATATTTTAGCGTTCGACGATAACTTACTCGCGTGTCATCCTGTCGCCGTTGATTCAACATTTTCGTTATGTAACCCTTCGTTACTTGGTATCGGTCTCCACATTCCCTCTTTTTCAACTTGAGAGGGGTAACCCTCCGGAGGTGTCCACTTCCTGTCCAGGGTTATTGGAAGTTGTTTTGTCGCAGTCCTCTGTCTCGCCTTCTTGTGGTATTAAGAGCTCCTATAAGTTTTTCCGTCTTTCGTTAGCGTCAATTCATTCCCTTGCCTCTCTATCACGTCGTACTCCTCCTTACCAAATCGGCTCACTAACTTGTTTGGTATGACTTTCACACCTTGTCTCCGAATACAATGTTGTTCTCTTTCGCTTCTCTGGTGGCATCTTTTCTGTTTTTTCCTTTTTGTTTGTTAATGGTGTCAGTGTCTCTGGCCTCTTTGTCATTATCCTCAATGATGATATCATGGATAGAAGGAATTTTATCCCGAATAGTTCGGCCAAACATCAATGGTGTTTTTCCCGTTGTTCCATGGGGTGTGACATTGTACATTAACTTTTGCATGTCGGCCTTGTAATCTGATTCGTTGGCATGTGATATCTGTAATCGTTTGAGGATTGTCTTATTTATATTTTAGACCTCACCATTAGCTTGGGGCCAGTACGGTATTGTGTGTACCAGTGTTATATTATTGTTTCCATAGAATCTTTTAAATTCCTGACTTGTAAACTGTCTTCCGTTGTCTGCCCTAATACTCTTGGGATAACCTAGCCGAGAAAACAGCCCTGTGAGTTCTTGTATTATTACTACCGAAGTGGTGGTTATTAAAAATCGGATCTCCTGGTATCGTGAGTAGTAATCAATTATTACTAGCACCATCACTTTGACTGGTAGGGGTCCCATTAGGTCTATTGCTAGACATTGCCAAGGCCCTTCTGGGCCATCAGACATTTCTTGCATGCTTTTACATATTTTTCCACCTCGAGGTCTATCAACGGCCACCATACCTTTGCTCTTAGTCGCCGTTTCATAGCCGTTTCTCCAGGGTGGGCTTCGTGTGCAAGTTGTAAAACATGTGTTCTTAGAGACTTTGGAATCACAATTCGGTTACCTCTCAGAAGTAACGAGCCCAAGGCTGACAGTTCGATCTTAAAAGGAAACAATGGGTTTTTTGCTTTTGGTGTCCAGTCGTCATTGTTAATTGCATCGATGATTTCCTTAATCTCGGGATCCGTTTGGTACATGTTGTTCTATTATAGAACAAATATGGTTTTCATTTTCCTTGTCAAAAGTTGCGTTGGTCTTTATTTGGCACAGTCTAGATAAAGCGTCTGGAATATTTTGTTTACCAGGCTGGTAAATAATTTTAAATTTGAAGGATTGTAATCTGAGTACCCATCTTTCAATACGTGCCGGTGGTTTCGAGGACGGCTTAAATATGGCTTCTAATGGTTTATGGTCAGTCACCAGCTCAAATTCGAGACCAGACAGATAGAAATAAAATCTTAAAACAGACCAGACCAATGCCAAACTTTCTTTCTCGGTCTGGAAATATCTGCGCTCTACCTCTGACAGACTCTTGCTTGCATACGAGATTACTCTTGGGTTTCGGTCTTCGTCGAACTGTAATAATACTGAACCTAATGCAACTGGACTTGCGTCTACGACTAAGCGAGTTCTTTGCCAAGGCGCGTTTTAATTGTTCAAAATGTTGTTGTTGTTCGTCTGCCCACTCAAATTTAATATCTGTTTTTGTTAAGCGCCCCAATGGTTCGGTTATAATTCCCAAATCTGGTATAAACTTTCCCAAATAGGTAGGTGGGCGAAAATTTAGTATTGTGTTGACCTTAACATCGTCTGCAGTAATGCCGGTGCGTGATAATTTATGTCCCAGAAACTCCAGCTTAGGTTCACGTTTTGTTCTTTAGTACTTGCTTCAAGCATCGGTCATGTTTGTTCTCGGTACTGCCAAACACGATTATATCATCTAGATAGTTAAAGCAGTTTTTACAGCCGACTAAGATATTTTCAAACACCCGCTGGAAAATCTCTGGCGCGGAGTTGACGCCAAACATAAGTCTTTTGTGAGTTATGAATGTGGTTATGGGTCTGCTTTCTTCATTGAGTTCTAGTTAGTTGTAGGCATTATTTAAGTCCAACCTCGAAAATATTTAGCTCCTCTTAGTTTAGTCATAAATGAGTCAAATGTGGGTAGTGTATAGTTTTCTTTTTGGGTGGCTTCATTGGCTCGACGCATATCCACGCAAATGCGAATTTCTTCATTTGTTTTAAACACCACCACTATTGGAGATATCCATGCACTTGGACAAGTGACTTTCAATAATATCTATCTGTAACGCATCCTGTAGTTTCTGTTCCACTCGATCTTCTAAAGATACAGGAACTCTTCTTACTGGTTGCTGGACCGGTCTTATGTTTGGGTAATTTTTAAGCTTGATGATAGTATCCTTAATCTTTGGAAATGGGGTAATCTGCTCGATCTTGTTGACATCTAGTCCAAGCTTTGGGACTCCCAATTGTTTAGCAGTTTCTTTGCCCAATATCGAAATGTTTCCTTGTTTCACTACGTAAAATGTTGATATCACTTCTGGACAATCGGGGAGGCTTATTGTTGACTGAAATTTAACTCTTCCTGTAGTTGTCCTCCACCAAGATGTAGTAGTTTTCTTCTTTGTTTAGTAAGTTCCACTATGTTTTCGCTTGAAAGATATAACTCTAGCGATCGCAGCCATTTTTTCCATTCGGGTCTTAATAGTGCCTTGTCGATATTGTCACATATAAAGGGTTTAATCCCTGAATCGGTCATTTTGGCACAGAATTATTTAGGTTCTCTGCTTTTTTTTTAAATATTTATCTATTTATTGGATAAATATGGCACACAGCCGGTCTTGTTTAGGTTCTCTGCCTTTTTTATTGGATAAATATGGCACACAGTCGATCTTGTTTAGGTTCTCTGCCCTTTTTATTGGATAAATATGGCACACAGCCGATCTTGTTTAGGTTCTCTGCCCTCTTTGTTTTTTGCTGCACACTGCCTATCGTACTTATAAGTTCCTATACCTATAGGTTCTCTATCCTTTTTTCTGGCCCACGGCCACTCGTATTAAGTTTCTCTGCCCTGTCCACGGCCATAAGGCCCTTTTTCTTGGTTCGAATCCTCGTCGCCAATTGTGGTATCCCAGGTATACACAATAACACACCGCTTGGTTTAGAACAATATATTTTAACTCAATAATTATTTACAACTAATATCAAAAACATTCACCAATCAGCGTTCGACGATAACTGACTCGCGTGTCATCCTGTCGCCGTTGATTCAACATCTTCGTTATGTAACCCTTTGTTACTTGGTATTGTTCTCCAAAAGTTGCATACACTATTTTAAACAGATTATCTGTTTGTGTGGTACCAGGTGGGGTGTATGATCCAAGTGCTGCAATAGCAATAAAATTATGTGGAAATAAAAATATATTTATTTATTTATATTTTTTAGGGAGGGGAAGAGTATCCAAATGGACAAGCCAATGGTTGTGTTAAACCATATATGAATGGCCATACAGATGGATATTGCCACATAACTGAAAATCCTCAAGTAAGTTCCTAATTAATATTATTTTCTTTAAAATACGAGGGTCGTTAGAAAACATCTCGTCCTAAAGCATAGATGTCGGTTGTGTGACTCTCCAACGGATGTCAAATGTCAGATAAAATATCAAATAAAATTGGCTTTAAATTCCTTGCACCATACTTAATTGTTTCGGTTCTTTAATTGTTTATAATCCTTTGTAAGCCTTTTTACACTGTTTAATACACAAATAGCTATTAACTACCGCGACAATTATAGAAAACAGTGTTAAGAGCGCAAATTGATACATTGCCGCTCTGAGCGAGAAGTTTGACGCGCGACGCGTAGCGGAGCAGCGATGTCACTTTGCGCTCGAATTACACACAGGATTTTTTCTGCAACCGGTGTTTCTATAAGAATGTTTGGTAAAAATTAATAATCATTGATGACCTCAAATTTGACGTTTGTGTCAAAAGTCGTAAATAAACATTAAACGTTCCTTTATTATGGTTTCCTTGGTAACTAAGCGAGCGACAAAGTAAAAAAAACGCTCGCTCGATTGTAGAAAAAATATTGTCTGCGACTATTGATCAAAAATAGTATTTTCTGTAACAAGTTTGGAATACAGCATATTCCGCTCGAGTGAAGAGTTTGTCACACGAGCCGAACGCGAGTTTGACGGTTTCACGTGAGCGGAATATGCAATTCCAAACGTGTTTCAGACTATACATACTTTTTCTACGTTTCCAAAACATACCATAGAAAAATAATTTAATTGAAAGAAAGTGAGGTTGGATCGGTCTAAAATTTGTTAGATATTAAAAACTGAGATCTCGCCACGAGTGTTTATTCTGTCATCCGATGATAGAATATTTCATTCTGTAACACTTTACGGAATATATGTCATTCCATAGATAAAAGTGATATTAGAACGGTCAAATTCCGTAATAGGAGTAGAAAAAGAAGATTCCACTTGCGTGTTAATTAACTAACAAACACGATCGGGGAATTTCCTTTTTCTTTTACTACTCTAATAATATACTATTTATCAGTTACATCCAGGGTTGCCAGATTCTGTCAAAAAAAATCTGGACATTTTGTATGAATTTATCTTAATTACAAAATTGACATAATGAAACAATTAGAGATTTAAAGGTTCGGAAAAAAACAGGAAAAATTGGAAAAAAACAGTGTTTTTTTCCGTTTTTTTCCCGAGCCTTGGAAAAATTGAAAAACGGAAAAATTGAAAAAATATTTAAAAAAAAACGAAAATCTAAAAAGTATTTTGGTTTGATATAATTTATGTATTAATGAGTGGAAATTAAATAAATATATTTTTGCAGTAGTACAGAAGTCTGTGCTTTGAGCAAAAAGCATACCATTGTGTATTGTGGGTACAATAAAAAAAGTATATTTAATACAAGGTAAATGTGTTTATGCTTACCGTAACGCTGTAAACGAATGACGATTGGTCCGACGTGTCGGTTCCTAATCAGCTGATCGGGCAGGGTTGCCATTGTGATGTTAAAATCATTGAATATGCTACTAACGCCTGGGTTAGTGTATTTTGAATAGTTACCTATACAACAATGATTTTAATGTGAATTACGGCCGTCGGCAACTAGGGTTTTTTCATCGTTAAAAAGCATGACCCTACAGGTGCCTCCCCGGGGGGCGCCTATACATAACGGGAATTTTTTAATCAAAATAATTTATAAATATTATAAAAAATATTTAAAATATTTTTAAACATTTTTTTTTGTTTTTAAGAAAATATCAATTTTTCCCAAAATTTCCGTTTTTTTCCAATTTTTCCAGGAAAAAAACAGGGTTTTTTTCCGACACTCAATTTTTCTGGAAATTTTGAATCTCTAGAAACCATGCAAGTTTGACGTTACTAAGAAGATTATATTCAGGAGCTTCAACTCCATAGAAATTTAAGGAGTGGGGGGGACCATACGTGTACAATGACCGAGAACGTAAAATTAAGTTCTGCGCATCTACCCTCCAATCCTTTGAAGAGATAAAGAAGGTATCTTTTTAACCTCTATTATTTTTTGCATCTGTCAAGCGTCAAATGTGTCACAACAATGTTTACCTTTACGATTAATTCACTCAACCCCTTTTCCAAAGTCGCAAATAATAATAAATAATATTATAATAAAGTCTTATTGGAACAGAAAGCGTAAACTGTTAGGTATGATGTTAATTTGGTTATCAGTGACTCAGATTTTGAGGCGATTGTCGAACTGCCAAACTTCGACGGTACAAGGAAGTCCATCCACCCAAAGAACTGTTTAATATTATATAACTGATTGCCATGAAGCGAATTGGTTGCATTGTTTTTACAACATTTCTTCACGAGATTTTTACCTATAAAATTACTGAATTTTGCAATGTACAATGTACGATTGGTGGCTTGAGTTCAAGTAATCTAAAGACGGAAACCTCGACCTACCATGCATCAAAACGTTTCCTGTTAGTAAACGTGTACCTATAATGTAAGGGCTTTAGACCGTGCTTAGTTAGCCTTTAAATTAAATTTAATATTGTATTTATAGTGTCATTTTAATTTAACCTGCCCATTATTTACCAAGTAAACATAACCTAACTTTAACTTTATATGTATTTTTCCTTTTTAAAATCTCATTTGCAAGCCTGTCAAAGAAAACTGTGCGTACCTGCCTGTTGCCATTGGGTGACCTAAAAAAAATATTCTGACCAGCTAGATTGACTATATTTGCATTATATTCAGTTACGTTCCTAGGGTTACGTTAATACTGCCGTGCTTAATGAAAACGCCGTAACCAACAATTTTGCGATTTTTGATTTACGGCATTTTCTACTAGAACAATTCATCCTGCGTCTATCCCCGGTACTCAAAAAACCGTATAGATATAGATACGGTTTTTTGAGTACCGTAGGATGAATTGCAAAATTGTTGGTTACGGCGTTTTCATTAAGCACGGCAGAATACTCTAGGTAGATACGATATATTTTAGATTTGCCTTAAATCTACAAATTTAAATAAGTAGTAGCACAATCTTCCAACCAATGCGTGCACTGCAGTTAATCACGTGAGTCGACAGTCTATGCGCGGTTGATTAAAAATCGTTTGTGCGAAGTGTACACCAAAGAAGACTTCCCCTCCTTTATCGACGCTGCCAAGCGACGCTTTTCTATCTATTATCAAATGCGGAGTTGAAGCTCCTGAATATAATCTTAGACGTTACTTAATTATTGTTGATTGTGTCATTTTTGTAATTAAGGTTAATTCACAAAAAAGTCCCGTTTTTTTTTGACAGAATCTGGTAACCCTGGTTACATCATAAATTGTGACATTTGATTTTAAAGTAGAAACAATCAGCTTATGGTATAATAAATATGAAACATATTATGCAAGCTTTTAAGATTTTCTGCTTCCTTTTAGATTTTAACCTTTTGAGCTCTTTTAAAGCTTTTAATCTGTTTTTGAGCTCAAAATTTTGGTAATTTTTGAAAAAAATTGACATTTTAAAAAGTTGTCTCATTTTTTATAATTTTACTACTGTATCTAAGAATTTTTTTCACAATTTGATTTTGAACTACTCTCTAAATTTGTCCTATTTTTATTTTGAACTACTGTTTTGTCATTTTTTGAATTTATACAACTGTGTGAATTTTGAAGTTATACGACGCAGTAAAATTTGTACAATTTTTTAGGTTATAAAATAAATTCTTATCTTTTTTTTCAGTACTATGCATGCAACTTGCTTCACAACAAATGCAGGGAAAAAGATGGCGCAGCATCGTCCGATTACGAGGAAGACTCGAACTCGAACGTGCCGACGTCGAAGTTTTACGATCTTTACCGACTATTCGAGAACTCGAAAAAGTCTGCTAAAGTGACGTCTACCGACGAGTGCAGCCCTCATTTTGAGCATTCGATTTCCAATCGTTGCGCCGGCGCCAGTCTTTCGAACAACGAACTCGACTCGACGCTCGAAAGCGAAAATCCTGCAACGTCGTTAAACTCGACGCAGCTTACTTGTTTAGACGACTCTATTGTGAATACCCATCGGCGAATATCGCCGATTCTCGGTCCGAACGGTTGACCCGATCGGCAGCCAGTTTTAATTAATACACAAGTAAGTTAATTGTGTTTGACCAAATGTAACAGGATTTTTTTACCACGACTTAAAGAGCAACGGGGTACTAAACATGACACAAACAAGTTGAAACTTTGTTGCTCTCATTCCCATACTGCCTAAATCGTTTTCAAATGCTGAAGCTTTACATCATACAGATATTTTTATAGAACTGATTTTTTTTTAACAGGGTGCCTTTAATGACACACCTATGCTAAACTGTTCAAAGGTATAGTTTTAAAATATTACCTGACAAAATGGCAAGTTTCCAGTATTCACTAAACTCATACTAATAATTATGCGTCATTTTTGGACACCATGTATATTATTTTTTGAAATAAAACACTATCCCTTTGATTAAATTATTGGGTAACAGCAAAAATTGATCGCTTAAAAAATACTCTAAAGATTCTAATTCCAATTTGTGTTGCAGGATTATTACCTGTCAAGTAGTAGCTTTAAACTACAACCAAATTAAGTTTAAACATTTTTCTATTAGAAAATACATTTGTGCCCCATTTATACCTGTGCAAAATACCTGGCACAAAACTCTCATTCAATAAATCTGTTGATATTTTAGCAACAAATAATAATTGCAACCTGACAAACAAAATTTATTATTTTATAGTAATGAAAAAAATATTCACGAAGTTGTACACTTTTTACAGTTTTAGTGCTTTCAATTTTTCAGTTACCTAGATTTGGTATTTAAAAAACAATAATGTTAATATTATTGTTTTTCTTCTTAACACAGTATGTTATAGAAGGCAATATTTAAAATTTATTTTTATATTGCATTTGCGTTTTGTGTATATATGTGTTAAAATTGCTCAATTTAAACAAAATTATATATTTTTTACCTACACCAAAATAATTTTTGTTACTATTGGCTATTTTATTAATAATAAAAGCTCTGAAGTGTTATTAAAAATTGGAATGATGTTTGTGTTCTACAAAATGGTTTTTAAATTACAAATCAGAATAATGAAGCAGTTTTGAAAATTTTATTCTTTTCATAGCCTTTTATTTTTTTCCTAAAGAATCTATTTTTTTTAATAAATATCTTGTTATTTAATTAGTTACTTTAGTATAAAACCGTACCTGATTCAATTACATATACCTAGTTAGGTAATAAGTAATATTGTACAGTATATTATTGTATGAATGTGAGTGTGTTATATATGTATAGTTGTTAAATTGTTTATATGTTATTAATGGCTACAATGTTAATGGTTCTATATTAGCGTTACCACAGAATATGATATTTATTAATTTAATAATAATATTACCCAAAGAATTATTATTCTGTTCAGATAACGTACAAAATGTATTATGAAATGTTATTATCTTCAGTCACAGCTCTATGTTGTGTGTGTGCCTTTATATTGTACAAAAATGACAACGATTTTCCTATTTTATACTTGGATCACTTTCTTAATATTATTAATATAGCATATAAAAATTTTGTTACTTGAAATAGAAAACGTTAAATCAAAAATTATATTGGGTCATTTCACTGAAAATTTTACTTTGTTTTGCACCTGTAACCATTAAAAAAATAACAAGGTCTTTAATGCAGTTTTAAATATTTTATGTATATGTTACGGCTAATGTGCAAACTTGGATAGTTTATAAACTAGCCAAACTGTCAGCTATTTTAATTGAAAATGTATTTTCAACTAAATTAGCGGCTAGTTTACAAAATAACCAAGGATCTTGGCTAATTTACTTGAAATTATTAGGGAAACTAAAATAGCTGGATAGTCTGTATACTACCCAATTCAATTTGGCTAATCTAAAAACCAAAATTTGTAGTAACACAAAATAGCCAAGCTTTAGCTAGTTTGTAAACCAACCAATTAATTCTCTGGCTATTGCCCATTTTAGTTGGGTTTTTTGCTCAATGGGGCGGGGGGGCCCAATGGGGCGGGGTCGGTTGGGTTGTGTTGTTGAGTTGGGGTTGGTTTGGGTTTTTTTCTCTCTTTTTTTGACCATTTGACCAATGGGGCGGGGGGGGGCCAATGGTGCGGGGTCGGTAGGGTTGTGTTGTTGAGTTTTCTAACAAGGAAGCGTTAAAATTTTGCCCATGATTCATTTTAAAAACGTTAAAATGCACAAAACAAATCCGGTTAAGCCGGCAAAACGAAAAACAATGCCGTAACCTCACTTTTTTTAATAAATTAGCCAGAGAATTGGTTGGTTAGTTTACAAACTAGCTAAAGCTTGGCTATTTTGTGTTACTAGAAATTTTGGTTTTCATATTAGCCAAACTGAATTGGATAGTAAGTATACAAACTATCCAGCTATTTTAGTTTTCCCCAATAATTTCAAGTAAATTAGCCAAGATCCTTGGTTATTTTGTAAACTAGCCGCTAATTTAGTTAAAATTATGTTTTCAATTAAAATAGCTGACAGTTTGGCTAGTTTATAAACTATCCAGCTAGTTTATAAACTATCCAAGTTTGCACATTAGCCATAGCATATATATAAGTATTTTTAATTCCGTTAATGTTGCGAGGACAGTAACTGTTGATCCATGACAAATTTAAACCATCCCCTAGTTTTAAATACTAAAGTTCTATCTATTTTTTCATTAATCTTTTTTAACCTATTCATACAACTCATACTTTATAAATTTAATTTATTTTAACATATTTTAAAGGTGTTCTAAGTTATGTCTACATTAGGGTGGTCCCCAAGTATTTTCTAATTGTTTGCTCCCAGGGGCTTACACTTTCAAATCGATAAAAAAATCCCTAAAAATTTGGGCTCCCTGTATCAACTCAAAATTTCCGATGAAAATAACATGGAAAAACTTGTTTTTCTCTTTGAAATTTTATCAGTCGTTAACGAATATACCGACAATAATGGCTTGTGCCATAATATCTTTGGGGCATTCCATACAAAATCTACCACTTTCAATTTGGCTGAAACTTCATCTTTTTATTTTTTTTTAATTGAAAAAAAAATTAACTTAGCTTATTTCTCATAAAACCACTCTGGGGACTTTTGAGGGTGTAGAAAGAAAGAAGTGAAAAAAGTGGTAATCATAAAAAAATTCAATATTTTTTGAAAAAGTAAGAACAAAAATAGAAGATAGTTCTGAATTTATATCTTTTTTAAACCCCATTTAAAAACAAAGAAAATAAAAAATTTTATTTACAATAGCTATAAATACAATAAATAAAATTATTTAATAAACTATGTTTTTTAAGTAAAAACAAAAAATAAAGTTTTAAACAAAAAAACGAATTTCATCACAAATTAACCACTCAACCAAATTGTACAAGCCTGTTTATCCAACAATAAACCAAATAACAATTTTTATTTTCTTTGCTTTCAATTTTTTTTTTAAGTAGTATTTTAAAAAATATTCAGAACTATCTTCTATTTTTTTTCTTACTTTTTGAAAAACATTGAAATTTATTTGATGATAACCACTTTCAAGTTCATTTATTATTATTTTTACATGAGGTTTTTCCTCTATATCCTTAAAAATCACCAGAGTGGTATTATGAGAAAAAAGCTAAGTAAAAACTTTTTTTATTGAAAAAATGCCATTCTAAAATTTTTAGAGAATTTGCGAAAAATGTTAGTTTCTCTGAAAATTTTTTTAAAAATCATCGAGTAATTTTGTTTTCATACAAAAATTCAGTTTGAATATTTTTCTAAAAAGCAAATATATATATTATATAAAAACAATTTGAAAAAAACCGATAAGTCAATTTTTGAAAAACTTATAAATATTTGAAAAATAAAGAGCCATTTGATGTTTTTGATAGGGTTGAAACAGATAAAAAAGTTTTAGCCAAATCAAAAGGGGTCAATATGGTATGCAATGCCCCATTATATTATAACACAATCGTTTATTTTGTATATGTGATTGAATGATAATTTTATATAAATTAAACTTTGAATGTTAATTATTAATAAAAAGGTATGTTCGATTAGTGTCGGTATATTTGTCAACGATAAAATTGCAAAGAGAAAAACAAGTTTTTTTTTGCGTGTGCAAAGTAATACTTATCCGCATGCATTTGCGTAAAGAAACTTTTCCGCACGCTTACTTTGCGCACGCAAATGCATTAATACAGATTATTAAATAAAGCCTTTAATAGTAGTTTGAATTAAAATTAATTTAAAATACAAAAATACTGCCAAAAAGTTAAAAATGAAAAATTATAAAGAAAATTGCGAGATTCCCTTGCTTGTAGAAAAATATTATTCCCAACACATGCTCAAAGTAATTTTTCCGCACTTTCTGCTTGCCCAAACTCGCATTTGCAACAATTGCACTAGCGTGCGTAAAAATAAAACTTTGCGCACTTGTTAGGAAAATAACTATTTCCCATGTTATTTCCATAGGACAAATTCAATTACAAATTGGACTATCTTAAAGTGTTATCGATCTTATAGTATTTAAGCCCCTGGAAACATTAATCATTAATATGGTTTATTTTAATTTAATGTCTTATTTTGGTAAAATTTACAGTATTTTAATCAAATTTACTACAAAATTAATTATATAAAAACCATTTTAATCTACATATTAAATATTTATAAATAAAATGCATGAAATACTTAATATAAATCAGGAATTATAGGAAAGCATATACCTCAGTAAAACATTCCTTAATACAAAGTATATATGGCCGCTTCTCTACAGTTACCTCTATTCTTGTTAACCAATTTTTAAATGTTTTTATACATTCCAATAGACCTTTAAATGTACCAATGTTTTAAAGCAATATATTTCATATGTTAATCACTATTTAGTCCACATATTTTTTCCTATTTATTTAACATAATTTGCAATAGTTTCAGATATAATTACTTATAAAGGTTTGGTTATGTGGGTTTAGTACAGCTGTAGTACTAGTACTAGATAGTTACCCATATTTTCTCTACAGTATTATCCATGCTAATTTTTATCTTTATTATAAAAAATGCGAGTTTTGGTGACAGTATTCGGGAAATACGTGTACAACCATATTTTTGTATTATGCTCTACACCCAAAGGTCCGCTAATTTCTTCTTATTTTCTGAAAATAATACAATATATTTATCTTTTGTGTATAAAGGTCTTAATTTAGAACACAAAATAATCATATATTTTGTAATTTTCAGAAAATAAGACGAAATTAGCGTTAAACTGGCATAGATGATAACCTTAATTATTTGTATTGAAATCAAGGTGGGACTTTTAAGTCCCAACGTGTAAACGCGTCATTCAATTAAGCAATTTTGAATATAATTACTCATAATAATTATGACTAACTATTACACAATTATTATGACTAGTTTTCCAAAAAAATGCGTGGGCAACTTAAAATTATAGATTCATTGGTCAAAATATGTCAATATTACCTATATCCAAAGTTGCTTTGTTTATGTTGATGTAAAAGCTCTCTAAAGGCTAAACGAAGGATATATCGTTTGGATAATTCATATTAAATCGATTTATTTTAAGCCGGATAATCTATTATTCGTTGTACACGTATTTCCTGAACATCCGGCATAAATTGGAGGTTTAGATCCAATTTGCCAATTGTTACACTCCAGA